TATATTATGTTAAGCAATGCATTATATTAGGGGGAATTGCATTGCCCAAATGAGTACGTTGGGGAAGTTTCATACAAAGCTGTTTTTATTAGAAATTTGCACCAAACTTGTGATGAGTTTCCATGAGGACTGTGAAACTGATAATCAATTGTGCTTTGCATTGTAAGTAGCTTTGAGGAAGCTCAAAGAGCACCTTGCATCCCACCAGATCAATGGCTGTTGCTCAGAGACAATACTGTGGGTGCTGTAGCCTGAGCCACACCAGCAACTAAAACCAATACCTATTGACCAGGTTGCTTGCTGCCATTTGTCTCATCTACACCTTTTAACAATCAGCCAACATGTTCATTAATTCAGGTTATGTTCACTGCGCTTCCACTCCGTTGATCTTTACTGTTCAGCTACTGTCATCTGAGTCTGAATACATTTTCTTCTTGCTGTTAGGATATGTGAATTGCAAAACAGGAAAGGAGCCATTGGGCCGTGGCCTTCTCTTTCTCTCTCTGTTTACGTTGCCAAGTGCAGTTGTGTTTGGAAGAAGAACAGCCCCAAAGCAAACAGCGGTAACTTATCTTAAGTACTTTGTGCATGCAAATGTTGTGTCCCTCTTAAACCACTGCTAGTTCTCTGGGTCATTAATGCTACGGAGATGAATTCTCCCTTTCCCGTGAATTTATGCTCCTGATATATTTCACCACCTGCTTCTCGCACCCTTAAATAGTTCTGCTTTCAGCCCCCTCTACTGTTTTAATCATGTTAATAATAATAATAATAATAATAATAATAATAATAATAATAATATCCCACCCTCCCCAGCCAAAGCCGGGCTCAGGGCAGCTAACAACAATAAAATAATCCAACATTCTAAAATCATTTCGTTATAAAATTAATTCAAATCAAATTGATGGCAATCATTGGGCTAGAGTTCTGTGAAGATTGCCAAAGGAGGGAGTCAGGCTGTGCCCTGGCCAAAGGCCTGGTGGAACAGCTCTGTCTTGCAGGCCCTGCAGAAAGATGTCAAGTCCCGCAGGGCCCTAGTCTCTTGTGACAGAGAGTTCCACCAGATCGGAGCCACAACCGAAAAAGCCCTGGCTCTAGCTGAGGCCAGCCTAACCTCCCTGTGGCCTGGGACCTTCAAGATGTTTTTGTTTGAAGACCGTAAGTTCCTCTGTGGGACATACCAGGAGAGGCGGTCCCGTAGGTATGAGGGTCGTAGGCCGTATAAGGTTAAAACCAGCACCTTAAACCTGATCCTGTACTCCACCGGGAGCCAGTGCAGCTGGTATAGTTGTTATTTTAGTCCATTGATTGGAGAGGAAAAAAAGCAGAGCAACACTTTTCGCTACTTTAGCACTTGGAAACAGAGTTCAACACATGGGGTAAAGGGTAAAGGGTGGATGGCACAATTGCCACTTTTCCTCATACAAATTCCCACCTACAAAGAGGACATGTCTGGTAAACAAACAAGATAAATGCTGAGGTTGATGTTGGTGATTTTTGTCAATTTCAGATTGGTTTCAGCACAGCTGTCCTTTGCCTAATGGAGGGGCAAGCTTTGAGGGGTCAGCAGGGCCACCTACCTGTCAGTCACCTGATGCTACATTGACATTAGGTGACCCACTTTCCTTTGCCTGCCTGGTTTGGAGTCAGACCAGTCAGGCAAAGGCACAGAGCTTTGCAATGATCCACTTGTACCATGCATATATTGTCAAGAGTTTGGGAGGCCAGTTTGGATGATGCCCTGAGTCCCCTCTAGTCCTTGGGATCCTGTATCTGTGGGGATAGAATATATGAGAGCAAGCTTGCCTACCCATTCACTTTGTCTAGGCAATGGCTTTGGCAGGCTAGTAAGCACCATGATTAGCACAACTCCCAAGTCCTGCATGGAGTAACTGTGCCCCAGAAGGACCAGGTGTGCAGCCTGGGAGTCAGCGACGTCCCTTTACTGACAGAGAATGGGAATGCTGGCAGGCAGGGAGAAGAGATAAGTCTGGTATGCAGAACTGAGGAGGAGCCGGGCTGCAGCCATAACTTGATCTCTGAGCACAGAGATCAAAGAAGGGAGAGTCTGAGTGGGAAAATACAGCCTGTCAGCTCAAGCACTGACTCAGACTGGGGAGACCAGATACAGCCTCTCCAAAGACTCGTAGGCTCTCAAGACTTTGCGAGAGGTGCGAAAAGGAAAGAAAGTGGAAGTGGGGGTTTTCTTGGGGGAGGGGAAGGGGCAGAGCTCAGTCCTGGCAACTGCTGCATTGGAGGACGACACTGAGTAGTTGAGCTCCATCATGATTTGTTTGAGAGACCAAGCCATTACACTGGGAGTCATTTTGGACTCACAGCTGCCCATGGAAGCACAAGTTAATTCTGTATCCAGGGTGGCTGTCTACCAGCTCCATCTGCTACACCAGCTGAGACCCTACCTGTCTGTGCATTGCCTTGCCAGAGAGGTGCATGCCCTGGTTATCTCCTGCTTGGATTACTGCTTTGCGCTCTACATGGGGCTACCTTTAAAGGTGACTTGGAAACTACAACTAATCCAGAATGTGGCAGCTAGACTGGTGATTGAGAGCCAGGACCATTTAACACCGGGGCTATTTAACACCGGCCCTAAAGGATCTACATTGGCTCCCAGTACGTTTCCAAGCACAATTCAAAGTGTTGGTGTTGACCTTTAAAGCCCTAAATGGCCTTGGCCCTGTATACCTGAATGAGTGGCTCCCCATTATCATCCAGCCCAGACACTGCCATCCCTCTCCAAGGGCCTTCTGGTGGTTCCCTCACTGTGAGAAGTGAAGTTACAGGGAACCAGTGGCGGAGCTTCATGCTCCGGCACCAGGGGGGCAGAGAGCAGGTGGGGGCAGGGCTGGGACGGACACCTTGCTGGGATTGCGCTGCCGGGGGCGGTGCGCTCCCCCCGCACTCCTCTTCCTCCGCCAGTGCAGGAAACCAAGCAGAGGGCCTTCTCAGTAGTGGAACACCTGTGGAACACCCTCCCATCAGATGCCAAGGAGATAAGTAACTATACAATCTTTAGGAGAAATCGATGGACATAGGACTAATGGGTGTGCATGAATTTCAACAGGTTTACTCTGAGTAGAACTTAGCTAGATCTAACCCAAGGTTGCTCTGTCCACTGCATATGTCCTTCAGATCTCCAAGGATGTCCAATAAGACAGCTTGTGGGGCCGTTTCATCAGCCTACAATGCTCAACACTGGCTTTGTAAAGAGGAACCTATGGACTCTTCTGTCTATACATTTGCATTCTGTAGACTGGGGAGAAAAGAGGCAGCTTCTTAATGGAAGCCTATTCCTTTTTTCTTTTTCTTTTTTCTTTAAAAGAACACAGGAACCCTGATATAAATCATTAAGAATTTAATCTGCAACCTTGTCACTTCTGATTTTGCTGGCATATGTTGGCTATGCAAATGTTGCATAGCGATCCAGTTTCTCTGGGGATGCTCGTGGTCCCGTGGGACGTGAATGAATAAAGTTAGACTAATCACATGGAAAGTAGGTACTTCTGCAAATTGAACCATGGCCTCTGGGGCTTCAAAATCAAGTGCATTTGTTGTTGGTAAATATTCATCGCCGCTTAAAAGGAGGTACCATCGTGGTAAGGATATAAATCAAAAAATCAAAGCTACATCAGGCAACCTGAAGGGTAGTTGCTTTTCCACCTATCCAGAAATGGCATTCTCAACCTGAGTGCCTTATGATCTACTTAGGCTAGGGGTAGAGGAGCCTCATCAGCCCAAGGGCCACATTTCCTTCTTGGCAACCTTCCAAGGGTCAGTGGTGGGCCTAGTTGGATGCATAGATGCTTAGCTTTGCACAGTAGGGTAGTTCCCATGCACACATCCTTCTCTGCTCTCCATCCAGGCCAGCAAGGTTCAAGGGCACATTCCAAGCCAGGCAAAAACATTCAAGGAGGGTACAAAGCAGGGCTGGTGAGGGGTGTGGCCGGGGGAGGGGGGGAATGCCTTAAGGAGAGTCCCAAGGGCCGATAGAGAGGCCAATTTGGCCCCTGGGGCCTAAGGTTTCCCAACCCCACTTTCGGTCATCGTTCGTGAAATTCTGTACACATTAAGGAGGCGAGCGGGTGGTGCTGTGGTCTAAACCACTGAGCCTCTTGGGCTTGCTGATTGGAAGGTTGGTGGTTCACATCCCCACGATGGGAGGAGCTCCCATTGCTCTGTCCCAGCTTCTGCCAAGATAGCAGTTCGAAAGCACGCCAGTGCAAGTAGATAAATAGGTACTTCTGCAGCGGGAAGGTAAACGGCGTTTCTGTGTGCTCTGGTTTCAGTCACGGTGTTCCGTTGTGCTAGAAGCGGTTTAGTCCTGCTGACCACATGACCCAGAAAGCTGTCTGTGGACAAACTCTGGCTCCCTCAGCCTGAAAGCGAGATGAGCGCTGCAACCCCATAGTTGCCTTTGACTGGACTTAACCGTCCAGGGATCCTTTACTTTTACTTTACTTTACTTTACTTTACTCGCTGGGATGATTTCTGTTGTTTTGTTTTTTGTTTTTTTATAATGATATTTATTAAACGCTGGGATGATTTCTGTTCTGAACACAGGACAAACTATTAAACACCAGCAATTTCTGTTTCTGTTTTCATTAGAATTCTCCAGACAACCCTACCCTCCATGAATTGATGGTATTCTGTGGGCAAATATGTCATTTTCACTTTCCATCAGATTTCATCCTCACTATACATTTAAAGCAGTATCGTACCATTTTAAACAGCCAAGTCTTCCCACAAAGAATCATGGGAAGCGTGGCTTATTAGGGGTTCAGAGAGTTGTTAGGAGAACGCTACTCCCCTCTGAGAGCTGCGGTTGCCAGAGTTCCTTGGGAAGAGGGATTTATTGTCAACCCATTCTGGAAATTGTGTCTCTGTTTAATGGGAACTATGGGAAGTGTATTATCATAGAATCATAGACTTGGAAGGGAACTCAAGGGTCATCTAGTCCAACCCCCTGCAATGCAGGAATCTTTCGCCCAACATGGAGCTTGAACCCACAACCTTGAGATTAAGAGCTTCGTGCTCTGCCAACTGAGCTACCACCGGCTCACTGCAATTTACCAAGGGTGCAGAGAGTTGTTAGGAGACCCCTATACTCCTCACGGAGGTACAACTGCCAGAGTTCCCTGGAAGCTGATTGTTAAACTACTCTGGGAATTGCAGCTCGCCTCAGGTTTTCAAAGCAGAGGGAAGCTGCTTTGAGGGGAAACGCATCAGACAGCCGTATTTCTCAAGAAGCTAAAAAGTAAAGGTAAAGGACCCTGGCAGTTAAGTCCAGTCGCAGATGATTCTGGGGTTGTGGCGCTCATGTGGCTTTACAGGCCAAGGGAGCTGGTGTTTGTCCGCACAGTTTTTCCAGGACATGTGGCCAGCATGACTACACCGCTTATGTTGCAACAGAACACCGAAACCAGAGCAGAGCACAGACACGCCATTTACCTTCCCGCCGGAGCGGTACTTATTTATCTAATTGCACTTTTTGGCATGCTTTCGAACTGCTAGGTTGGCAGGAGCTGGGACCGAGCAATGGGAGCTCACAGCGTCTTGGGGATTTGAACCGCCCACCTTCTGGTCATCAATAATAATAATAATAATAATATTGTTATCTATACCCCGCCCATCTGGCTGGGCCTCCCCAGCCACTCTGGGCGGCTTCCAACAAAATATTAAAATACTGTAATACATCAAACATTAAAAGCTTCCCTAAAGAGGGCTGCCTTCAGATGTCTTCTAAAAGTCTGGTAGTTGTTGTTCTCTTTGACATCTGATGGGAGGGCGTTCCACAGGGCGGGTGCCACTACCGAGAAGGCCCTCTGTCTGGTTCCCTGTAACTTGGCTTCTCATAGTGAGGGAACCGCCAGAAGGCCCTTGGTGCCGGACCTCAGTGTCCGGGTAGAACGATGGTGGTGGAGATGCTCCTTCAGATATACTGGACCGAGGCCCAAGAGGCTCAGTGGTTTAGACCACAGCGCCACCCTCATCCCTCTTAAGAAGCAACAGGATAGCCATGGGTTGTGGCCAACGGATGGTGGGACGCCGCTTCAAACATCAAGAGTGAGAGTGCACTGCCCCCTTGGGATAATCAGAGTCAGCAGTGGCAGGTTGGGGTGGAGAGTATCACCTTTCCAAATCCTGAAATGCAGAGCAAGACCGGAGCCCACCTACAATTCGTGCCCTTTCAGTCTCTTGGTGTCTCTCCTCACCTCCTTCCCCTGCTCCCGGATGCCAGCCTGTGACAGGCATGCTTTTCAACTGGGGGGTGGGGGGTGGAAGCCGCACATAAACAGGGCATTTGTGAGTGACAGATTCAATCTCATTCGTGAGATATTTTCCAGGGAGATCAGGCGCCGCTGCCGACGGCTTGTCAAGAGACTCACTGGATATTAAAGCTTGACTACTTTAATGAAGAAACTACAGAGGATTTGCCTGTTGCAGCCTTTTGGAGCTGCCTGGGTGACATTAAGTGGCATGATGCCCTCACCAGAGTGACAAACATTTAGATTTTCAAAAATAGCATTTCAAGGTTCATGCAGCTACTCCGGCTTTGCTAACGTCCCCGGCCCTGCCTTTTATCACGTCCTGCCCTGCTCAGTGCTGTTAACATGCACATGTGAGCGTGCGAGTCTGATGATAGATAGATAGACAGATAGTAATGAAAGGCATCAAGCGGCCCTTCAGACTAGTTCGTTCTGGATTGCGGTAGTATTTATTGCAGTGACTAACCAAACAGAAATTTTAAATTCTTACAGCTCAGATTCTGCCTTTATCAGCCGCTGTGATGAAAAAATGATGCTGTTCTGAGCATTCCATCCTCAAAGCTCCGTAGCTGCCACCTTCGAAACATTATTTTTATCAGAGAACGAAGGCAGAAGCTGAAACGTTTTGCTAGGAGAGTTTAAAATATCTGGGTTGCTGTTTCGTGTGTGTATGAATAAAGGTAAAGGGACCCCTGACCATTAGGTCCAGTCGTGGCCGACTCTGGGGTTGCGGTGCTCATCTCACTTTATTGGCCGAGGGAGCCAGCGTACAGCTTCCGGGTCATGTGGCCAGCATGACTAAGCCGCTTCTGGCGAACCAGAGCAGCACACGGAAACACCGTTTACCTTCCCGCTGGAGTGGTACCTATTTATCTACTTGCACTTGGACGTGTTTTCGAACTGCTAGGTTGGCAGGAGCAGGGACCGAGCAACGGGAGCTCACTCCGTTGCAGGGATTCGAACTGCCGACCTTCTGATTGGCAAGTCCTAGGCTCTGTGGTTTAACCCACAGCGCCACCCGCGTCCCCCAGTATCCTGTTTACTCTCGAGTATAATGCCTGGATAGGGCTGCTGTGCAATGCAAATTCCCATGTTAAATCATACTTTGTTTTCAATTCAGGTCAGAACTAAGTAACTCTCAAGAAGAGAAAAGGAACACTTCCTCCCTCCCCCTCCGCATTATCATTGCCACAAGTGAAAACTTGCTGCCGTTTGATAGATGCCAGCACCATAGCACGTTGCAAAAAAATATGGAGGTGTTAATTAGGTATTTGCTCTCTGGACATGGCTTCCGGAGAAATATGCAAACAGGCAAGAAGAGCTAGCCTGCAGTTTTGCGGTCCGCAAATCAAACATAGCTCATCAAGACGTGACCTATTCAAATGGCAAATAAAGCAGTGAGGAAAGATCATCGCTGCAGCTGGGTACGTGTAAACGCTGCAAAAATTGTCAATGCTTTTTAAAGGCAAACAGCCCATTACCGAAGACAAATGTTGTAAAGCATTAGCGCTGCCAAAGTAATGTGGGAACATCTTTCCCCCAAACTGAGAGCCCGGCATGTTGGCATTTGATTGCTTTTTTGGGGGCCAATTAGATGATGCAAATTCGAATAAACTGCCTCTGTTTAACAATGGGGCAATTTCTCTCTTCCATCAAAGCAGCAAAAGTTTTTCAAAGGCTAAATGCTAAAATATGAACATAAGAACAAAGGCCCGTTTCGCCCAGAGACCAACCAGATGCCTGCGGAGAGCCCACAAACAGAGTAAAAGGTCAGGAATGTACTTTTTCACACAGCAAGCAAGGAAATCTGTGTGTGTGTGTGTGTGTGTGTGTGCTTATTTTGCTATTCAGTATTTCAAAGCCAGACAGTGTGTGATGTAATGGTTAGAGCAGAACAGAGCTTTCCAAACTTTCCATGTTGGTGACACACTTTTTAGACATGCTTTAGCTGAGATTCCTGCATTGTGAGGGGTTGGACTAGATGACCCTTGGGTTCCTTCCAACTCTAAGATTCTATGATTTCGAGACAGAGTAATTCAGTTTTCCATCATTTCACGACACAGTAATTCAGTTTTACTAGGAAACCGGAGATTAAACTAACCCCTTTCCAGCACTGGAAGGGGCATGGGGAGCATTTGCGTGACACACCTACACACTGCAGCAAACACACTAAGGTGTTGCAACAGATAGTTTGGAAAGCTCTGGGTTAGAGTGTCAGATGAGGACCTGGGAGGTGTGGGTTCAAATCCCCACTCAGCCATGAAGCTCACTGGTTGACCTTGGAGAGCCAGTGTGGTGTAGTGGTTAAGAGTGGTAGTCTCGTAATCTGGGGAACCGGGTTCGCTTCCCCGCTCCTCCACCTGCAGCTGCTGGGTGACCATGGGCTAGTCACACTTCTCTGAAGTCTCTCAGCCCCACTCACCTCACAGAGTGTTTGTTGTGGGGGAGGAAGGGAAAGGAGAATGTCAGCCGCTTTGAGACTCCTTCGGGTAGTGATAAAGCGGGATATCAAATCCAAACTCTTCTTCTTCTTCTTCTTCTTCTTCTTCTTCTTCTGCTGCTGCTGCTGCTGCTGCTGCTGCCAGTCACCAGTGGCAGACCTTGGGGTCTCAAATTTCAGGGGTGCCCTGTGCAAAGCCAAAATTCCATGCCCCCCCACCTCTCGCCTTTCATTTTAACATCAAAATTGTGACACCCCAAGGCTCCACACGCAGAGCGACAAAAGCCATCGTGCTCCCCTAAATTCACCTCTGCAGTCACTGCCTCTCATCCTAACCTACTTCACCGGGTTGTTGTGGGGATTACATGATGCAGGTGGCGCTGTGGTCTAAACCACTGAGCCTCTTGGGCTTGCCGATCAGAAGGTCGGCAGTTCGAATCCCCACAATGGAGTGAGCTCCCATTGTTCTGTCCCAGCTCCTGCCAACCTAGCAATTTGAAAGCACGCCAGTGTAAGTAGATAAATAGGTACCACTGTGGTGGGAAGGTAAATGGTGGTTCTGTGTGCTCTGGCTTCCGTCATGGTGTTCTGTTGCGCCAGAAGCGGTTTAGTCCTGCTAGCCACATGACCCGGAAAGCTGTCTGCAGGCAAATGCCGGCTCCCTCGGCCTGAAAGCGAAATGAGCGCCGCAACCCCAGAGTCGCCTTTGACTGGACTTAACCGTCCAGGGGTCCTTCATCTTTACTTTTTACCTTACACGAAGAGGGGGAGAAACATGCACACCACCTTGAGTTCCTTGGAGAAAAAGATGGGATAGAAGTGCGATGATGATGTGACACTGAGTTCCAGCTCCGAGGGCCTTCTGGCAGTTCCCTCACTGCAAGAAGTGAGGTTACAGGGAACCAGGCAGAGGGCCTTCTCGGTGGTGGCACCCACCCTGTGGAATGCCCTCCCATCAGATGTCAAGGAAATAAACAACTATTTGATGTTTAGAAGACCGCTGATGGGCGGGGTATAAATAAATTATTATTATTAATTATTATTATTATTATTATTATTATTATTATTATTATTATTATCACCATCATCTCCAGGTTGATAGACTTAATTCTGCATTGTAAAGGTAGGTATGACACAGAATGCTGCGCCTGCTATTGTGGGGATAAATTTGCTGCCCACACCCTTACCTGAGAAGGGGTTTCTCACTGGTGCATGAGCTAGGCTTTTTCTTTCTTTTTTATTAATTTTTTTCATTTTTTAATATATCACTTTCAACAGTCATTCAACATAGGTTACATCTTATACAGTTTTTTTTTGGACTTCCGTCAACCATATCTGAAAATTTTCCATTTTTTCCACTTAATTTACATTTCTTAATTTCACTATTGCTTTTAATTATCTTATCTATTGACTCTCTCATCATAGCCTAGGCTTTTTCAGCTAGCTCCACCCCCAGTTCCTCCTCCTCCTCAACATCACCCCTGTCCCCGACTTTACAGTATGGGCCTTGTTAATCTCCATACCGTTTGCATCCACAAGATAACTTGTGGAGCACATATGCAATGCCCAAACGCTGCCTCTCTCTGTCTGCTCTTCATTATTTTTAAAAAGCAGTTGCATCTGCCTACAAACAGTGAGCAATCGTGCAGCTTTCTTGTTGCCACACATGTTGGGGGGTGGCAGGGGGAAGTCCCTCTGGGAGTGATGGGTCCTTATGATGTGCTGTTATTTTCTGGTGGAAATACACTTTTTTTTCTTTTTCTTTTTAAAGTGCTGTTAGAATTTGTTTTAAAATGTGCAATTCCCCCCTGAGGTATCAATGGCACATCACCAAGATCCATCGCACCCAGAGGGGTGTGCTTTGTTTTCAACACATATTTCAACAGGAATCCCATGTGCTAGCCAGCTGCTTGTGGGTGGCTGTAATTATTTTTTAAAGGGAAAGAAAAAGCAGCAAAGAGATCAGAGGCAATAAGCACACTTTCCCTTAGGCATTTTGGATATGTTCAGGGGCTAGGATGCCAACAATCCCAGCCATGTTGCCAAATGTTCCGCTAAGGCCAGGCTAGGGAAGTTATTCTTTTATGGATTCGAATGCTGTGCACGCCAGTCCTGCTTACTGAGCATAATATATTCCCTGGAAATTGTTCGTTAGGCGAGTGTTCATATAATGAGTCTGTGATTTCCATTGAGTCCTATGGGAACGTTTCTAATCGGTGATTTGTCTGATCTCTTTCCCTGCTCCCTCCATGATTTCTTCCTGAAATGGCTGCAGCCAACCAGCAAAATGAAAGTGGAAAAACTGATTTGTCTTGTATCTCCTGCTCTCTGATTTGTCTGGTCTCTCTCTCTCCCTGCATGATTTCTGCCTGAAAATGACTGCGGTCCTCCAGCAAAGCACTAACAACTCAGAAAGTAAGGAGTGGTAAAGCTCTGGTTGTTCAGATATCTGAATTTGCAGTGTGTGTAGCAAGGTATGGGCATAATACTTTATATTTGGATAACTAAATTTTGGCAAAACGAGTGGGCGGATAGTGAGATTGTGTGTAATGCACTTATGGCTGGGGACTGCCAGTTTATTAATGCAAAGTGAGCACAAACAGAGGAAGGCACATATGCAGCTGACTATGTGGGGATACAGGGCATAGCCCGTAAATGGCTGTGCTCTGTTATGTCTGGTCGGGGACAGAGGGTGGCGCTAGGGAGGGAGAGGTCGTTGCGCCACTCTTGGTGTGTGGAGCGCCGCAGGGCACAATCCTCTCCCCGATGCCTTTTAACATCTTTATGTGCCCCCTTGCCCAGATTGTCCGGAGCTTTGGGCTGGGCTGTCACCAATATGCTGATGACACTCAGCTCTATCTGTTGATGGATGGCCACACTGATTCGGCCCCGAACACACTGACCAGATGCTTGGAAGCTGTGGCTGGATATTTTTGTGGGAGCCGATTGAAACTAAATCCTTCGAAGACAGAGGTCCTATGGCTGGGTCGGGATGGTATGGGGATGAGGGACCAATTCCCTTCTCTTGCAGGGGCCCAATTAGTGCTATTGCCTTCTGTTAAGAGTTTGGGTGTAATCCCTGACACCTCCCGTTCCATGGAGGCGGCAGGTTACAGCAACAGCCAAGGCGACATTTTTCTACCTTTGCCGCATCAAGCAGTTGGTCCCTTATCTTTCCTGCCCCGACCTGGCCACAGTGATCCATGCGACGGTCACCTCCAGGCTTGACTACTGTAATTCGCTCTACGCAGGGCTTGAAGCTGCCCCAGAAACTCCAGCGGGTGCAGAATGCTGCAGTGAGGCTCTTCACGGGGTCTCTGCCATGGGAGCATATTCACCCAGTGCTTTTCCAGCTGCACTGGCTCCTGGTGGAGTGCAGGGTCAGATTTAAGGTGCTGGTTTTGACCTTTAAAGCCCTTCACGGCCTAGGACCCTCATACCTATGGGACTGCCTCTCCTGGTATGCCCCACGGAGGATCTTAAGGTCCATAAATAGCAACACCCTAGAGGTCCCGGGCCCTAAGGAAATTAGATTAGCCTCAACCAGAGCCAGGACCTTTTCAACACTGGCTCCGGTCTGGTGGAACGCTCTGTCTCATGAGACTAGAGCCCTGCGGGATCTGATTTCTTTCCACAGGGCCTGTAAGACAGAGTTGCTCCACCTGGCCTTTGGCTTAGAATCAATTTGATTCCCTCCCCCTCTTTCTTTTCTCCTTTCTCCTCCTGTGAAGAGGCTGCATCTTAATGTTTTAATGTTGTATTTTAATCTTGTTTTTAAGTTGTATTTTAATCAACTTGTTTTTATTATTGGTTGTTAGCTGCCCTGAGCCCGGTCTTGGCTGGGGAGGGTGGGGTATAAGTAAAATTTATGATGATGATGATGATGATGATGATGATGATCAGAGTTTAAAAAGCATATTGCTACATAGCTAGGCACAACTAAAAGAAATACATTGGGGTGGGGTCATATTTGTAGCCCTTTGGTTGCTGTTAGGGAAACCCAGCAGCAGATTTACCCAGGACAGTGCCAAATGTCAACCCAGCTCCAGTGATGAAGGGGCATCGCTGCCACCATTTCTATGTGTTCTTGCCATACTGGGAGGTTGGTTTTCCATTAATCCTAGGAAGCTCACTGCGGCTCCCATCACACAAGGGCCTGAAGCCTCTTTCAGAGCTGCAGCTGAATTATCAGGAGCTGCCATGACAACATTAAGCTCATTCTCCTTTCAGCCTGCCATTTTTTAAATCTGGATGTAGCCATGCTGTGAAATTGTATGATCGCGAGTAATGTGGCTTGAACACACCTTGAAAGGGAAAAATAAAATACAGAAAGGCAATGAATACTTTTAATGATGACGGAAAGGTTAATAAGGAAGGCTTTCCCCCTGCAACCGTGGTGAGGGGGAAAAAGAGGCATCTCAGTGTGGGTTTCAGTCTTCAGTGTATAGTTCCTCCTTTAGCTATACTTCAATTGGCACAGTTACTTCTATGTTACATTTTTATATTCACATACGTTTCCATATATGTGGGCAAACTCTGGAATGAGACAGCAACAACACCATTCAATTGTATATTTCACCATTTTTTTCTGGGCAAACTGGAGGGCTTGATAGTGCGTCTAGAATGTGCCCTGCCCTTTAAAAAAAATTCTGTGCATCCCTCGGGAGCTATGAACCAATCCAGGGTCTCTGTAGGGGAGCCGGTTTGTGGCACTGAGATAATTAATAAGTAATTCATCAAATCCTACCAGTTTGATCTGCCCTGCTCAAATGAACTAACCTTAATGAATGAGGGAGTTGCTTGTGGCATGTTGGGTAAAAGAGGTGATCATCCCTAACAACTTCTTAAACTCAAGAAAAAGCAACTGCTAGGACCTATTTTTGTACCCCCCCAAGTTTCTCCACCATTACTTTGCATCCCTTTTTTGGCTGGTGAGGAAACAAAAGAGAAAACTGCCTCTATCTCCCACTGTCATGCCTCATGTCACAGAAATGCAGCAGCGTCTAGCAAAGGAGCAAACATATTATTATTTTTTTCAGTGTACAGAATGCGTCGTGCAGTAACTGCAGGTGTATCCCTGGGATGAAGTTATTCGTGACAGGAATAGAAAGCAACAGAATGCTGGTACAGTGGTACCTCGGGTTACATACGCTTCAGGTTACAGACTCCGCTAACCCAGAAATAGTGCTTCAGGTTAAGAACTTTGCTTCAGCATAAGAACAGAAATCGTGTGCCGGCTGCGTGGCAGCAGCAGGAGGCCCCATTAGCTAAAGTGGTGCTTCAGGTTAAGAACAGTTTCAGGTTACGTACGGACCTCCGGAACGAATTAAGTACTTAACCCGAGGTACCACTGTATTTTGAGCATGTTGGGAAAGGGTTTTGACTCCTGAGAGCAAAAATGTGTGAACCGCTCTTACAAGACGGGAAGCCACTGGAAGCTGGATTGAACCTCTGAATTATCAGTTACATAGAATCACACTGAGCATATATCTGTTGACAGTCTTTCTTCTTCTTCTTCTTCTTCTTCTTCTTCTTCTTCTTCTTCTTCTTCTTCTTCTTTTCTCTCTCTCTCTCTCTCTCTCTCTCTCTCTCTCTCTGGCAAATGGCACTGATGATTACTTCTGAAGTTTTCATCTGTTGAATGGATGCAATGCCTTATTACAGATACTAAAAGTTACCTTGTCAGCAATCCGCTCACTTTATTGCATCCATAGGGCACTCACATAATTCCAACATGTCCCATGACCAAAATGCTAGGGGAAAAGCAGAAGGTGACATCATAATGTATCCCTCAGCTTCAGTGGAAATATTTGTCGATCAGAAAGGAGTGGAGCCTGGGTAATTTTGATATAAACCCCAAACTACAGATCCTGGTGAAAGTTTCATTGAGGCTATTTCAGCTTAGGTTTGAGGAGAGGGACTTCAGATCATAAAGTTGGACGGCGCCATGGAAGTTACCGAGTCCAACTACTGACTCGGTTCCAGATTCTTGAACTATACCACCCTTGGCAGATATTGATGGATGGATCTGTCTATTTCAGTTATCTCAGTTTCTATTCTTCCAGTCTTAAATTCAGTTCTTCACGTTTCTACAGCAATTTGTGATTTTTTAAATAAAAAAAATCCTCATGAAAATTCAGCATTAGTGAAAATTTCTCCTAATAAATGCATTTTTTTAAAATGCAGTTTTGATTAAGAGACTTTTTCCCCAGTTTCCTCCAATATAATCTATTCCACCTGCTAATATATTTTATGCACACTTTCCCTTAAGATGGGGATTTTTATAAACATTGGTTGGAGAAATGCATCGCAAAATTCGGAGAAGTTCAGATTTTAAGGGATGGCTGTGTTTCAGCTCTTGCATTGTTTCAAAAAGTGCCAGTTGGGTAGGTTCTCTTTTAAAGAAGTGAAACCATTAGTCCATCTGCCTCAATGTTGTCTACACTGACTGGCAGAAGCTCTTCACGATGTTTCTGGAGATGCTGAGGATTGAACCTGCGTACAAAGCAGATGCTATACCACTGAGCTAGAAGATTGGATTTGTGATTTTTAGCCGTCATATTGCACTTCTGTTTCATGTTCAGCTTGTGATCAACCAAGAAAAAATTAGCCTCTTTGATATTACAGAGATGTTGTCACTGGCTTGCCCATTCTGATCCTTCAACTTCATGTCAGTGGCAATTATAATTAGCCCAGGGTGTTTTGTTCATGTGTGGAAGACAATGAGCCTGCTATTATTGGCAGGGTCTGGGCGAGGCTGTCAGATCATTTGTTATATTATACAGTAATTGTTAGTTTATTGATATTTCTAGGAGGAAATGGAAGAAGAAAAGTGGGGGTTTTATTTGATGTGCAACCAGTCTCACTGTGTGCGTGTCAAAGCACATTGCAGAAATTAAGATTCCTCCTTTCAAAGGTTGTTTTTTTAAAGAAACACCACATTCAAGTATAGGTAGGGAACTAGTGGTCATGCGCATGTTGTACTCCAGATCCCATCATCCCCAGCCAGTGTGGTCCACAGTCAGGGATGATGGGAGTGGTAGTCCAGCAACATTTGGAGGGTCACAGTTTCCCTAGCCCTGCAGTAGCACATACAAAGCTTCTCACCTCTGGTTGAGATTTAGAAGAATCTCTCAATTCCAGTTCTCTGTTTTACCGTCTTAAATTAAGTTCTCCACATTTCCACAGCAATCTGCTGCATGCAGATCATGAGAATTCACCAGCCTTTTAGTGCAAATTTAACCTCATATGCAACCATTTCATTTGCAAGCAATTTCTCCATATACAATGCATTCTTCTGTCTTCGCCAGCATATTTATTGTTATGCACACTTTCCCCATATGTCCTAATGTTCACCTGAAAGCTATCCTTCTGTTCCACCTCCACTGTTGGATACCTCTGAGTACCAGTTGTTGTGAGCTGCAGGTGAGAGAGCAATGTTCTCTGGTTCTGTTTGGGGGACATCTGGTAGGCAACTGTGAGAACAAGATGCTGGACTAGATGGGCCTTTGACTTGATCCAGTGGGCTTATTCTTATGCTTTTATGTTCTTAAGCATGATGCTCATCAATCTGCTTCACAGGGCCGAAAACAGGTGCCTGATGTCGTCTTCACTTTCTTCCCTCTTTCTCCTTTCAATCCATCCTACAAGGCCTTGTGCACTGGAAATGTTTCTGGGGAGTTCTTTACGGCACACATTCAGTTCATACAAGGCAGTAAGTAGACCTGCTGGGCCTCACAGTCAGTCCACCTGAGCCCCAGGACCCATAGGAAATGCAAGAACATGAAATGATCAGTAGATGTGGGCAAGATGTTCTCCTTGGAAGTCAATCCACCATTACTGATCACTGAGGGGAGAGTATTGTGCTTCGGGGTCCTGATTCGGAGCTTTTCATGGCTATCTGGTTTTTCCACTGTGAGAACAGGATGCTGGACTGGATGAGTCTTGATCTGGTCCAAGAGAGCTCATTGCCCATGGAGGTTGATTATTGTCTTCCAAAGCAACTACTCTATTCCGAACTTCAACATGGAAAGTGTAATGCTGATGGTCAACAAAAGAGGTTTAAAGGCTCTCTCAAGGCAAATCTAAACAAAAATAGTATAAACACCAACAACTGGGAAACATCGGCCTGCGAGTGCTCCAACTGGAAAAGAAAAAGAGTTTGGATTTGATATTCCGCTTTATCACTACCCTAAGGAGTAACAAAGCGGCTAACAATCTCCTTTCCTCCCCCACAACAAACGCTCTGTGAGGTGAGTGAGGCTGAGAGACTTCAGAGAAGTGTGACTAGCCCAAGGTCACCCAGCAGCTGCAGGTGGAGGAGTGGGGAAGCGAACCCAGTTCACCAGATTACGAGGCCCACCGCTCCTAACCACTACACCACACTGGCTCTCTGGAGAACAGCCTTTATCAAAGGTGTCATGGGCTTTGAAGACCCTCAAACTCGGGACAAAAGGGAGAAACATGCTAAGAGGGCTTTGCAAACCCTAACTGTGATAAACTCCCACCTGGAAACCTACATCTCCACTGTGGAAGGACGTGTGGATCCAGAATTGTCCACCACAGATACTTATGGACTCACTGTTAAAACTGTGTTCATGGAAGACTATCTTACTCGGCTATGAGTGATCGCCAAAGAAGAAGGTCTATTAGGCCAAATAAGGCACTGCCCCACCAACCACGGACTGCACTCAGCTAGCTATAACTGATCTTTACTGATCATTGAGAGGAGAGTGTTGAGAGGAACTCAAGTTCTTCTTGTGTGTTTCCCAGAGGCATCTGGTGGACCACTGTGAGAACAGGATGTTGGATGAGATGTGCTACCGGCCTGATCCAGCAGTACACATTTGTTCTTAACTGAAGTCCCTTAGATCTAATCCTGCCCACTGGAGTCTTTTCCCTTTTCTGTGTAATGCTATTCTGAGGGATGCTATCAAGTGGGGCTTCAACCATGCCCCACTGGGCTTATTTGATGCAACATTTGCATTCCATAATATTAAATTTCCCATCTGAATTCCAGGAAACCTTATATTCAGGTCACTGTTAGGTCCTTTTTGGAATGACTGAAACAATATGAAGCAACCAAACTTGAAACACTTTCTTTTTCTTTCTTTTTCTTTTGGTGAAGTAACAGAGCCCACATGTGATGTCCTAATTTCTATTTAAATGCTAATTGGACTACGTCTTCATGATATAGCGAGGCACTATAAAATAAATATTGGGGGTATGGATGCTGCTTATGAAAATGCATAAATTGTCACTGAGGATTATTACATGCAGGATCCTTTATTCTCTGTACATTTGTTTATCCAATTCATTAGAAATCTGTGTCCTTCATTAATTCAATGATTTTTTAAAGGCTAGGTAAAGGTCGTATTAATCATAAAACGACATAGGTGTGATAATCTCTCCTGTATAACAACAGAGTTCCCCCCACTAAGAAAGTCTCACCCACCCATACAGGGAATGCAAATGTATGCCATTATGCTTGTTTGTCAATGGATGCAGAAGCTTAGTCTATGCTTGTGTCTTAAGATTTAGCATAATTTTGCATTGCTGCCTCTCCTAACCCCATTTCTTTAACATGGCAGAGAATGAATGGGCACACCAGTCAGTTGGGGGGGGGGAGATTTCCCAGTCTAACTGCAGTAAAAGTATAGCATTGCCTCTAATGCTAGTCATATTCAGAGGAAGCCTATTGGAATTAATGAGATGTTGTTTCTCAGCTAGGAGAACCAGGAAGAACTGGCCTTACACTAAACCCCGGGTCAGGCTTCATTTGAGGGCAGGGAGCTGGAATCTTGAGGAAGATTAGGGACCCCCTATGCTTACGAGTTGCAACATAGTCGTGGTTTTCACAAAAACAGCACCCTTTTTCTTTTCCGAATAACGAAACTGAGCAACCTGGAGAAAAATGTGTAGCCTGAGAGTGGAAAAGAGTTTGTGAATCTTTTGCTTTGATAGGCAGGCCTATTTTTTAATCAGAGTGTGTTGTTTTCCAAGGCCACTCCAATCACAGCGATTTGAGGGAGGGTTGTTGAAATAAATAAATAGCTGTTCTGCATGTGGTCATCATTCCCTGAGTTTTAGCTATGAGAGCAGGGAGTAAGCAGACGAATTAAATTATTGTAGTGGTCTTCCTTTTGCGGAATTTTTGTAGGCACAGCTCTAGGCTTTAAAGTGCAGGTTTTTGTTTGTGTGTGTCCAACACTTTCTCTGGGAAAGCCAGTGTTTTACTGCTGAATTGGAGCAAATGGCAATCAAATTTTCCATGGATTTCTGCTCCAATTAGCAGTCAAACAATTTGAAATCATAGTGTTTTCTCTCTCCCATTTCTGTTTAGCAAAGGGTTCTCTCAGGAAGAGAGGTGCAGTGAGAACAAACTGTGATGCTCCCCCACTTTTTATAAAGAAGTTCTTTTGAAAAAGCAACCTAGCACAATAGCCCCGGGAACTATTTGAACTTTAGTAGGTTTCTTACCCAGGGGTGCAGCTCCCTTGTCTCCCTAACTTTCAAACTCATTGTCTACAAAAAAAGAAAACAAATTAAGAGAGGAAACAACAGATTTCTGTTTTCCCTTCCCGAAATGGTAAAGTCTGTTCTTGCAGGAAAACTGCTACACCTATCTTTCTGACATTTGGCAGACTTGCAGAATCGATCAACCTCCACATTTGATCTGCCTGAAATTTGAAAAGCTTAATCTTCTCTTGAAGGCGCCTTTGCCTGCAAATTTCATTCACTTGTGTGAAAACAATAGACTCTCCATTATAGTCAATGGGAGTTAAACAGAGCTTTGGATTTAGTAGAACAGGTTTGGACCCAAATAATGAATTGAATTTGAGTGACACAGAGCGGATCTGAAACAGATTGGGCTGCTTCCAAACACTACAGATATAAGGAAAATCTTGCGGTTGCCGCACAACTTTAACAAATACTCTCTTAGTTCCATATCCAGGTCAAAAGCCAGACTGGAATGACCCACAAAACCAACACCATCCAGATGTCCCCATAGCTGCAGCATGACCTATCTCCTCTTTTGCTCTTTCCAGGCAAAAGCCGTCTTCTATTACCAAGGCTATTTCCACAGTATGCATTAGATCAACCTCAGGAGCCTGACAGCAAATGGATTTCCCAGTTCCGAAAGTGGCTTTCGGCTCCGCAATGACTTGCTAATTCTGTATTGGGTAAGAAATTTTGTATTTGCAGGGGCGGAAATTGTTTTTGATTTTCCCCTCTCCTTACTCTACTCATAAATCAAAATTGGCTGAGGGACTTTGCTCAGTCTTAAGGTCAAAAGGGGAATAATTCAGAAAGTTTGCAAGGGAGCAGACGGGAGCTATAATGGAAAAATTGCTGCGAAGCCCATAGATATGGTTGAAAATATATTGCCATTTTGGAGCTTGATGTCTTACAAGAGGCAATGCAACACAAATAGTAGCATCGCCTATAGGTAATACTGTAGGTTTGGGGAAGACTTGGTGTAGAGGTGGAGGAGCTTGAATGGTGGGTCCTGGGTAGGGGTAGAAGCATTTCCAGGGGAGATCTGGTGATCCTTTCCCAGCCACATCTCCTCCTGGACAACCTTCTGGGACCACATGCCAGTGGTGGTCCAGCCAAGAAGCAAAAGTGTGTAGAGTAACAGTTTTGGGTTTTTACATCAAACAGGTTTGAGGCTGAGCTGGAAATATCAGTAGGTCTCCATTGCAAAGAGGGGGCAATGCTGATGGAGTCTCCTTGCACATGAAAACATCCTCTATTTGAAGGGCTACCTGGTCCAAGCCCAGTTTAAAGAGAAAGCAGAGCAGGTGTCTTGATGCTGGCCACCAGCAGTGGCCATCTGCATAACAGACAGAGCAGGAACACTGGTCTCTTGGACATTTCCACTGACTATGGTGAGATGTACTGTATAGTATAGGGATCAGTGCTATTTTTCTTGAAAAAGTGGTACCAGAACTCACCAATAATAATAATAATTATTATTATTTATTATTTATACCCCGCCCATCTGGCTGGGCTTCCCCAGCCACTCTGGGCGGCTTCCAAAAAAATATTAAAATGCTGTAATACATCAAACATTAAAAGCTTCCCTAAACAGGGCTGCCTTCAGATGTCTTCTAAAAGTCTGGTAGTTGTTCTCTTTGACATCTGGTGGGAGGGCTTTCCACAGGGAGGGCGCCACTACTGAGAAGGCCCTCTGCCTGGTTCCCTGTAACTTGGCTTCTCGCAGTAAGGGAACCGCCAGAAGGCCCTCGGCGCTGGACCTCAGTGTCCGGGTAGAACGATGCTCCTTCAGGTATACTGGACCGAGGCTGTTTAGGGCTTTAAAGGTCAGCACCAACACTTTGAGTTGTGCTCGGAAACGTACTGGGAGCCAATGTAGGTCATTCAAGACCGGTGTTATATGGTCTCCGCGGCCGCTCCCAGTCACCAGTGTAGCTGCTGCGTTCTGGATTAGTTGTAGTTTCCGGGTCACCTTCAAAGGTAGCCCCACGTAGAGCGCATTGCAGTAGTCCAAGCGGGAGATAACCAGAGCATGCACCACTCTGGCGAGGCAGTCTGCAGGCAGATAGGGTCTCAGCCTACGTACCAGATGGAGCTGGTAAACAGCTGCCCTGGACACAGATTTGACCTGTGCTTCCATGGACAGCTGTGAGTCCAAAATGACTCCCAGGCTGCGCACCTGGTCCTTCAGGGGCACAGTTACCCCATTCAGTTCTCTTACAATGGCAGTGGTGCCCACCTGAGAGATGCCATAACCGAGTTCCGGTGAGTTCTGGCTGAAAGGAAGCCCTGATCGTGATTATGTCTGATTTTAAATCTCTGTGTGTATATTAGCACATGTAAATCTGTCCTCTTTTGCCCTTCTTTTTGCTGTGGGGTGGTTGGTGAATAAGTAGCAATTCTCCAAACCCTTCCTGCCTTGCGAGATATGATGCTTTTTGTTGGGTTGTTGCTATTCAAGTCGCAGAATCACTTTTCAGAAGGGGAAGCTTCTGCAGACTATGGAGAGTGTTATCCCAGCATTGTGAAAACCTGGGTCTTGCTATTGATATAAATAGGACTCCCCCCCCCGCCCCAGTTCCAGCACCTCTCAGGTGGGCACCATTGCCATTATAATAATAAATAATAATAATAATAATAGAAATTATTTATACCCCACCCTCCCCAGCCAAGACCAGGCTCAGGGCAGTTAACACCCGATATAAAAACAAATTGATTGAAATACAACTTAAAAACAAGATTAAAATACAACATTAAAATACAGCCACATTTCAATGGAAACTCAAATCAAAAACTTTTTTGGGGATGAAAGTGTCAAGTCTTCACCAAGGCTAATTTATAAGAGAACAAGGGAACTGTTCTGCGCCATTTTTTCCTAGAAAAAATAGCACTGGATATAAATATTACGAATAAATTAGGTGAGCCCACTTTGCCATGTGACTAGATCTGGTTCAGTCCTTGGCATCTCCAGGTAGAGTTGGGAGAGATTCCTGCCTAGAACCCTGGAGAGTTGCTGCCAGCCAGAGCAGACAGTGCTAAGTTAGATGGGCCAATGGTTTGACTCCGTGTCAGATGGCTTCCAGTGTTCACAGTCCTTGCTATACATGTTCTCAGAAAGCCACTCCCGACATAAGGGGGGGGTTGCGGGCTCACGCCCACCTACATCCGCGCGGGGCTGGCTACGGCCTCGCACGACTTGGGAATCCTCGGGCTGCGTCATTCCCTGCGCCAGCCAATCGCCTGGCGGCAGGGGTGGGGCTAAAGGGGGTCATTTAAGGTTGGGGCAGCCCGAGATCGCCCCTTTCTTTCTCTCGTCCCACTGCGGTTTCCCACCCAACCACCCTCTAGGTTTTCCCTCGGACTTGCTATGGACCTCGGTTGGTCGCCGCAAGGGGCCTGGTAGGAGTTTTTCCACTTGGCTAATTGGCATTGTTTTGGAAGCCATTTGGTTTTTTCGCCTACCTAGTAGCAAAACGTCACAACGCCTTTGGTTTTGGCGGTTAGGCATTGGTAGGGGATGCAGATGAGTCGGGGGGGGAGGAGCGCCATCACCTCCCCCAAATGCTTAGGGGTAGTCCAATAAAGGACTCCCTGGGGCGTTGCCTCGTCCGAAACCTATGGAAGCTAGGGCCTAAAGCGCGCTCCCGAGCGGTGACCCCTCGGGGAGCGCCTAGGGATGTGCATCTCAGAGGCTCCCCCTGGTGTTAACCCTTTCCGGTTCTATGCCGGATAGTCTGATAGTACCAATGCCTAAAGCCAATACCACTCTTACCTGTAACCAATAAAGTTGTGGCCATTTTTCGCCCATTAACCTAAATTCTGGTGTCCAGTGTCTTTATTCATTCCAACTGGGGGGGGGGAATCGCCACGCAAGTAAGTTTCACTATGTTTAACGAGGCTTATTGCTGGTTAAGTGGGCATAGGATTGCAGCCCTAGACACTTCTGCATTTTACAGCAAAATGATGGGAGTTAAGAACCAGCTGTCTCCCCCCTATCCCCACGCTCATCTCATCTCCATAACTGCCCAAGATGTCCCTTTTACAACCAGGCAGGTGAATGTCAGATCTTTAATGCAACACGTAAGTGACACTGGCTGCGGCTAAATTACAACGACCCCTCTTTAAAGGCACAACGTGCTTTCTTTTTTTATTACGGCTACTGTAGAGTTTAAGATGAACTTTTAAAAAGCAGGTAACACTCGTGGCAAACCTCCTCCCCCAACCACCCAAAAAGCTCTCTGCTTAAACTGTTTTTGTGTTTAATGTCATCATGCCCGAAGGACTGGACTTGGGTAAATGTTAACATTAATATGGGATGGCATGCTAGATAAATAAAATTTATGAATGTCATGATGGCTACTTGGAAAAATGGCTTTGGAGAGGATTAGAAACTGATGCAGAGGGCACGTTAATCAGGAGCTACCGATCGCAAGAGCCAGGAACATAATCTCCACATTCAGGAATGCCAGCTGTTGGAGGCAAATGGCAAGGGATTGGCAGGAAGAGCATAAGAAGAGTCCTTGATGGATCATGCCAAAGGCCTATCTAGTCTGGCATCCTGTTCTCACTGTGGCCAGCCTGTATGTGAAGCCTGCAAACAGGACCTAAGCACAGGTGCACTCTCCTTACTTGCAAACCCCACAGCTTGGGAACCTCTGTCTTGCTGGATTCCAGGCACCATTCAGGGACTGACTAGATGAGGAGGAGTAGAAGCCGGCTGACTCCCAGGGAAAGAACTGTGATGGCCTGGGTCTCAGGCTCGGACTCGGAGCCAGAGGAGTCTCAGTCCGCACCGGATCCTTTGCCTCAGGCATCATCTGAACCAAGTCTGCGGCCTGATCCTGAAGAGGCCCAGTCTGCACAGGTTCCCCTGCAACAAACACCAGCTGGGCCGAGTCAGGGGCCTGAGCCTGCCCTGGCTCCAGATGCGGGGATTACCTCGTTGCCTCCAGCTGGGCAATCACTTATAGCTGCTCCACTACCTGTTGGGTCAGGAGAGGCTGAGGTGGCCTCTGGGTCTAGTAACCCACCGACATCTCCCGAGCTGCAGAGACTGAGGTCTGAGAGAAGGAGAGACCTGAGTACTCGCAGGAGGAGTACTCGCCTTCGGGCGAGACAGGGAGGTGAGTCACCGGGGGAATCAGGACTGGCTGTTACCCCAACAGAGATAAAAGGCTGCTCTGGACCCTGCCCCAGGTTGCGGGAGCAACGTTGCTGTTTGCCAGAACCTGCCTGTGATCCTGTGCCTGACCTCACCTGGTTTTCTGCCTAGGCCCTGTTGGACTGACTCCTCGCGGAACCCTTGGATTCGGGACCAGACCTGGACGTGTTACTTGGGTTACCCTCAGGCCCAGCACAAGAACAGAGGATAGGATTTGGATCCTGTTCCCTGGTGGTGGGAAATTGGCCACTCCCCAGAGAAGGGGAAGAACTGGGAAGTACTGGAGGCTGGGAGCTTGAGGGATAGGAAGCAGGCAGGTGCCCCATCACAGAGCAAGGACAGGGACCAGGCTTGGCAGTTCTACCATTACACAGAATTAAAATTCAAACATCCATAATTTAAATACAAGATAAAACAATACTGTTGAAATATAAACACCCATAATTTAAATATGCAAATAAAGCAACCTCATTAAAACAACACAGCAGGGGAGTCAGGTTGAGAGAGCAAGGGAACGCCTGTGTAAACAGGTGAATCTTCAAACATTGCGAATATTCAGCACCCTTCGGGGGATGGAGGAATCTGTCAGTTCCAGTTTCTCTCAGCTTTCATTTTTTCAGTCTTGTTCAATTTACCCCATTTCCACACCAGTTTGTGAAGATAAAAAAATCAAGTGCACATGAATTTTTCTTTACTAATTTCCATGTGTGTTGCTCCTAATGTTTTTGTACACAATTTTGCAAAATATACTTTTTTGGAAGCACTTTTCCCTAATAGAATGCATTTTTTGTACGGTACTCTCACCAATGTATGCATTTTTATGGACCATTTCCTGTAATATATGCATTTTTGCACACATTTTGAGGTTGAAGAGCCATATCACAAAATTCAGAAAAGTGCAAATCTTGAAAGGTAGCTGTTTTTCAGTTTGTGTATTGGTTTAGTCACTGGAAATTAGGTAGGTTCCCATAAAAGGGCAAACATAATGAATTCTGTTCCCTGACCTTTACTTGAACTCTAATTTTCATGACTAAGGACATAAGAACAGGAGAGAAGATCTACAGAGGACTAAGTAGGTAGGGGGAGGTTTGCATCCTCCTTGTGTTGCTTGGTCTGTTCTTCTGGTTAGCAAGAGTGTGTCTGTCTTTTTGCTGCATCATTTTGTTTGACCTTTATGATATCTGCCTGCAGTTAAAAGAGTCTGTGCTGATAGCAGTGTGTGGGGTACTGCTTGACTGCTGGCTGAGTGAATTCATTCTACGTTCTAAATCTTATACAGTGGTACCTTGGGTTACATACGCTTCAGGTTACTCCACTAACCCAGAAATAGTGCTTCAGGTTAAGAACAGTTTCAGGTTAAGTACAGACCTCCGGAACGAATTAAGTACTTAACCCGAGGTAAAAGGTAAAGGAAAAGGTACCCCTGCCCGAAGGCCAGTTGTGTCCGACTCTAGGGTTGTGCGCCCATCTCACTCTATAGGCCGGGGGCCAGCGCTGTCCGGAGACACTTCTGGGTCACGTGGCCAGCGTGACGAAGCTGCTCTGGTGAGCCGGCACCAGAGCAGCACACGGAAACGCCGTTTACCTTCCCGCTAGAAAGCGGTCCCTATTTATCTACTTGCAATTATGGGTGCTTTCGAACTGCTAGGTGGGCAGGAGCTGGGACCGAAAGACGGGAGCTCACCCTGCCGCGGGGATTCGAACCGTCGACCATGCAATCGGCAAGCCCTAGGCACTGAGGTTTTACCCACAGCGCCACCCGCGTCCCACTGTACCCGTGGGTACAGAGGTACCACTGTATTAATAATCCAAAAATTGAGAGAGCTATGTACAAGATCTACTACAGAAGACACAAACATAAAACTCATTCAAATTGTGTCCAAAAGGAAGATACAGTCTTTAAATGTTCCTTTAGTCAGGCTCCTGTAGATATCAGCAAAGGTAAGTTGGATCAAACAGTGTCGGTGATGTTACACTCAAGGGTTAAATATCAACGAGGATAAGTTTGTTGGTGATGTTATGCACAAGAGTTAGACAGGGTGCCGGCGTTTGTCACCTGTTTCGCCCATGAAGAGTCTCGGGCTTCTTCAGTAAATTCTCTCTCACGGTTTGGATTATTAATATAAGATTTAGAATGTAGAATGTTTTTTAGTGTGTTGTGTGCCGCTTATGTGCTGCTCACTTTATACTGGTCTACTACCAGAATTGGTTCATTTCTTCAGGCTGAGTGAATTCAGCTGGGGTATGGTGAGGTCCAAGGCCTGCCTTGCTATAACAACAGATCAGTCCATAATAAGACCATGCCCATCCATGACTTGATTGTGGATGAACAGGGTGATCTGGCTTGCATTACTGAGACTTGGAAGAGTGAGTGAGCTGGGTGAGCCTGACCATACTCAGCTGTGCCCACCTGGGCACACCACTAGGCTAGACTGGGGTGGGGTCAAGTGGGTGTTGTCATTGTCCATAAAAGCACCATCTCCTTGACCAGAAAACCTCTTGATGCTTGTGTTGGCTCAGAGAGACAGATTGGGGATCCTGCTGGTCTACTCACCACCCTGTTGCCTGGCAGCATCCTTGGGCTCACCAAGATAGTCTCTGGGGGACTTCGATATCCATACAGAGGCTGCTGTCAGGCCAGATGGAGACTTCATGGTCTCCATGACAACTAAGGGTCTCTCTCAAATGGTCATTGATCCAATACATCATGCAGGGCAGATCCTTGATGTAGTCTTTGTCCCAAGTGATATGAGGGATGGACCAAGGATGGCAAGGGGAAGACAATGCATTCTTTTGTCATGGTTGGACCATTATCAGGCTAAGTTTGGACTGATGGTGACAATTCCCCACTGTAAGGGTAGTGGGCCTGTTTGGATGGCCTTCCCATGGAGACCAATAGAAACTGATGTGTTCCTGAATGCTCTGGAGTGGAACTCTTTCTCCAGTGGAGAAAGCTGGCAATCCTGTTGAAGCCTCACTGTGGAACAGCAAGCAATAGTCAGTTGACATAATTACTTCTGAGCATCCTCTCTGATGCTGTGGGGCCCAAGCAGCACCTTGATATTCTGGCCACCTCTGGGCTGTGAAGCAAGCTGGATGTCAGGGATGTGGCTGAATCAAATGCCTGGGAAGAGTCTGACTCTGGAGACGAGGGAATGCAATCACAGACAGAGCAGGAGTGAGTCAGTTCGGCCCCCCTTCATCAAGAGTTCCCAGATTCAGAACAGCAGACTCGGAAACCATACAAGCAGAGGGAGAGGAGGAGATAGACAGCATTGAGGGAGTTGCTATGCAACCAGGAGGGAGGCAGCATTTAGAGGGCTCTTCTTTTGAGAGTGGGGGGGGGAGTCCACCGACCTTCTCCCCGAACCAGAAGAGCTGAAAGGGTTAAAATGCAATGGAAGTACAAGAGAGGAAGGACTGGACTTTGGCACCCTTCGTGCTGTGAAAGGGGCGGAGACTCAGAGTGACCAACTTGTAGCTAAGAGTGGCAGGCTCAGAGCCGCTCTCTGGATGTTAATGGTAAATAAACATACCATAAAACTGCCAGAGACTCATTAATTCTTATTGGAGCTTGCTTGCCTGCCTGAGATCATTACACTGGATGGAAACTAGAGCGCAAGTGGTAAAAGTCTCTCTTTGAAGCCAACCAAATGTTGGTTACAACACATAATAATAATAATAATAATAATAATAATAATAATAATTTATTATTTATACCCCGCTCATCTGGCTAGGCTTCCTCAGCGACTCTGGGTGGCTTCCAACCAAATATTAAAATACAGTAATACATCAAACATTAAAAGCTTCCCTAAACAGGGCTGCCTTCAGATGTCTTCTAAAAGTCTGGTAGTTGTTGTTCTCTTTGGCATCTGGTGGGAGGGTGTTCCACAGGGCAGGCGCCACCACCGAGAAGACCCTCTGCCTGGTTCCCTGTAACTTGGCTTCTTGCAGTGAGGGAACCGCCAGAAGGCCCTCAAAGCTGGACCGCAGTGTCCGGGTAGAATGATGGGGGTGGAGACGGTCCTTCAGGTATACTGGACCGAGGCCATTTAGGACTTTAAAAGTCAGCACCAACACTTTGAATTGTGCTCGGAAACGTACTGGGAGCCAATGCAGGTCTTTCAAGACCAGTGTTATGTGGTCTTGGTGGCCGCTCCCAGTCATGCTCATCATGTGGAAGTGTATGCTGAAAAGGAGGCTTATTTTGCAGCTTGGATTGAATCCTCTAGTATTCACCCGGCAGAGTTATTTAAGAGATTCTGGTGCTTACTGGCTTCCATGGGGGGGACGGGGGACAGATGGACTCTGGAGCATCCGAAGACCCAGTATAATCAACTGGCTACACACTTTGAGGATTGTTGTTGTTGTTTAGTCGTTTAGTCGTGTCCGACTCTTCGTGACCCCATGGACCAGAGCACGCCAGGCACTTCTGTCTTCCACTGCCTCCCGCAGTTTGGTCAGACTCATGTTTGTAGCTTCAAGAACACTGTCCAACCATCTCGTCGTCTGTGGTCCCCTTCTCCTTGTGCCCTCCATTTTCCCCAACATCAGGGTCTTTTCCAGGGAGTCTTCTCTTCTCATGAGGTGGCCAAAGTACTGGAGCCTCAGCTTCAGGATCTGTCCTTCCAGTGAGCACTCAGGGCTGATTTCCTTCAGAATGGATGCGTTTGATCTTCTTGCAGTCCATGGGACTCTCAAGAGTCTCCTCCAGCACCATAATTCAACACTTTGAGGATACATTCACTCAATTTCTAAGTGATCTTGACACTGCACTTGCTGTAGCTCTGGTTAGATAAATATATTTTGTATGAATGGCCCTCTGTAAGAAAATCCAAACCATTGATTAGAGCAATTATTGTGTAAATGCTTTGTAATTTATGCGATAAACACAGTGATTGTGTGGATGTTTTAAGGAAGCAAAGCTACATTTCTCATGCGAGGGAGCGGCAATGATAGATCTGTACTGGCAGTACTGAGAAGTTTTCCAGAATGAGGTCTGTGTGCAGCTAACACAGGAATTTGTTCAGGCTTAGTTGGATGTTCTGGTTGGAAATGTCAACACCAACAAAGAGTAATGGTTGGATGGGGGGGCAGGGAAATGAACACATCAGCTACCATATGGCCAACGGGTTGCTCCGAGTTGTGAGTTGGGATTAATTCTTCCTGAACTACAATGCAAACACAGAGAAGAGATGCTCTCAGAAGAAAAAAAAAAGAGACAGAAGGAAAAAAAGGGCTTGATTACAGAGCCACAAATAGACAGGCTCAAAAGCTCAGCCAGCATTTTGGCTCTCATAAGTGTGGCCTGATGGCTTTCTCTGAGCTTGTGCTGCTGTCTTGTTTAATATTCTCATGCCAGCAATGCCAGATGCAATTAACCTGATATGTATCATTTAGGTGCCTTGCCAAGCTTTCCTCCATTAGCAAGTGTCAGACGTGGAAAGGTCACTACAGAATGCTATTCAAAAAAGAAAACAAGCAATGCTGAGGCAAATATCGGGGAGCTGGAGGTGTAATATGTGGAAGCAGGTAGGCAAAAGCTAGGTTGGAAGGACTCTATCTATCTATCTATCTATCTATCTATTTATCTAATCTATCATCTATCTATCTATCATCTATCTATCTATCTATCTATCTAATCTATCATCTATCTATCTATCTATCTATATCTATCATCTATCTATCATCTATCATCTATCTATATCTATCATATACCTATCTATCTATCTGGAGCTGGAGGTGTAATAGGTGGAAGCAGGTGGGCAAAAGCTAGGTTGGCAGGTCTATCTATATCATGGGTAGGCAAAATAAGGCCTGGGGGCCGGATCCGGCCCAATCACCTTCTAAATCCAGCCCGTGGATGTTCCAGGAATCAGTGTGATTTTACATCAGTAGAATGTGTGCTTTTATTTAAAATGTATCTCTGGGTTATTTGTGGGGCATAGGAATTCATCCCTCCCCCAAATATAGTCCAGCCCCCCACAAGGTCTGAGGGACAGTGGACCGGCCCTCTGCTGAAAAAGTTTGCTGACCCCTGATCTATATCTATCTATCTATATCTATCTATCTATCATCTATCTATCTCTATCTATTTATCTCTATCATCTATCTATCTATCTATCTATCATCTATCTATATCTATTTATCATCTATCTATATGTATCTATCATCTATCTATATCTATCTATCTATCTATCTATCTATCTATCTATCTATCTATCTATCATCTATCTATCTATCTATCTATCTATCTATCTATCTATCTATCATCTATCTATCTATCTATCTATCTCTCTATCTATCTATCTATCATCTATCTATCTATCTATCATCTATCTAGCTAGCTATCTATCTAGCTATCTATCTAGCTATCTAGCTATCTATCTATCATCTCTATCTATCTATCTATCTATCTATCTATCTATCTATCATCATCTATCTATCTATCTATCATCTATCTATCTATCTATCTATCTATCTATCTATCTATCTATCATCTATCTATCCAGTCTGATGTAGTTGTTAGAGTGGTGGACCAGCACTGGAGAGACCCAAGTTCAGATCCCTACCCATTCATGAAGCTTGGACCCATCACTACGGGCTCATCCACACTTCCCTTTTCCCTATGATTTCTAGTCATGGGTGGGGAGCGGGCAGTGCTGTGATCTAAACCATTGAGCCTCTTGGGCTTGCTGATCGGAAGGTCAGTGGTTTGAATCTCATGACGGGGTGAGCTCTCGTTGCTCTGTCCCAGCTCCTGCCAACCTTGCAGTTCGAAAGCACACCAGTGCAAGTAGATAAATAGGTACCGCTGCGGTGGGAAGGTAAACAGCATTCTGTGCCCTCTGCTTTCCATCATGGTGTTCCATTGCACCAGAAGCGGTTTAGTCATGCTGGCCACATGACCTGGAAAGCTGTCTGTGGACAAACGCCAGCTCCCTCAGCCTGAAAGCAAGATGAGCGTTACAACCCCATAGTTGCTTTTGGGGTCCTTTACCTTTTACCTTTTCTAGTCATGGCTCTGAGAGGCTCTTTTGTCCCTCTGCTTCCCCTGGGAAAACCTACTGTTTCCACCTGAATTGGAACAAATGTCCATCAGGCATATTGCAGATGGATATTTGTTTTGATTCAGCAGTAAACTGCAGGTTTTCCTGGGGGAAAGGACAGGACAAAATGAAAACCTCTTGGCCCCATGACTAGACATCATGGGCAAACAATAAATCATGGAACAAACAAAGAAATTGTGGGACAAACAGAAGTGTGAATGAGCGCTATGCCTCAGTTTAATTTACCTCACAGTTTTGTTTGAAGGTAAAAATGGGGGAGAACCATCACTTAATGCTTAGCTGCTTGGAGGAACCGTGGGAGATGAAATAAATTCATATCTTTGCATTTCTATTCTGATTCTTAAGGTTTATTTGAAGCTTCACATGTCTGAGCCTTGAATGAACTATATTTCTCAGTGTTTAGGAAAAGTGTATTTGTGCTGACTTGTTTGCAGAAAGCTTGTGCGGAGGTTAGACTATATTCTGGTTTAACTGAACATTCATCACGATTGGTTTATGGGGTAGTCATATGACAATGAACCTCCATCGTAATTTGCTTGCAGGGTGAATAGACATCTTCCTATTTCATCTCACACTTTTCAGCGCATTTCCCAGTTACTTTCCTAACCACAAAAACTTACTTTAAAAAAATCAAAGAAGTTGATTTGTTGAGGGTAGGGTGACAGAGTGCTTTAACCCACTTTAGGTGTGCAAACCAAATTTCTTATATGAATGCCCCTCTTACAAAACAGTGACAGCCTGGAGACCCACTTCCTTCAAAATATGGCACACCAGACTTAGTCCTTTGAGAGGCGCTGTTGCTTATTCTGCTGAATGGGGCATTGGACACCAGTCCTAAGGTCCTTTCCTGTTGGCTCCAGGGCTCTGCCTTTCAGAATCTATGACTCCTCCCCAGTGAATTAGGTTTGGTGGGATAATCAGGCCCCTTTGAACCCAAGAATTGCACGTCTCCAGGCTGCGTTCCCGCTGGCAATCGGATCGACTTCAAACAGTTCTGCCACGCTGAGCTCCAAAAGCAGGACAAATCCTTCTGTTCACTCTTGTCTTCGTTTCTCCCCCTTTTATGCTTTGTACCTCATCTCAGAAGATTTAACAGCCACCAGGTTTTTGGCTTTCATGCCTGTGTGAAGGTGAGGGAACAGGCACGCTCGTCTCCAAGATGAATAAAGACTCAGAATGGAAATGGCGGCAGAGGGAGGAGAAAGGGAGAAAATGAGCAAAACAGGCGAGGAAAGAAGAGCAATGGGGGGAGACGTGATTGCTTAATTACACTCTGAACTTTTATCTGCAGAGCCTTGGATCGCACCCTAATGAAAGCAAATGGCATCCAGAGAGGCATGGTGCAGATGGAGACCCAGTACAAACAGTTCTGGGCAAGCGATTGCTGGCAAGGATTTGTGTGTGTGTGTGTGTGTGGAAACTTTTCTAGGGTGTGCATGGGAAAAGGTAAGGATTTCCAGAGCTTCAGAAAGAACTTGTGAAATTCTGGTAGTAACAGCTTACAATGGTCATTGGAACGTGGGCTGCATTCCCATGACAGGGTCAGTGTGGCATCAGGATGAGAGTGTTAGTCAAGATATGGCAGACCAGGGTTCAAATCCCCCACTCAGCCATGAAGCTTACTGGGTGACGTATGACCATCACTCACTTTTTGTCTAACACTGAGGGTTGTTTTGAAGATAAAATGGGAATGCAGAGAATTTTGTATGCCATCTCGAGCTCCTAGGAGTAAATGTGCGCTAGAGATGTAATGAACCAATGAATAAAAATAATAAACAATATATTCCATTTTCACATGTTAATTCTCACATTATCTTTGGGGTTTCCACGCAATGGAAAAGCCATTTCCAGGACTTTAGTGACCATCTACATCAGTTCTGAGAATCTGCTGTGTGAAAAGTATGATCTGAAAGATGTGGGAGGCTGAAGTTCAATGATAATAATAATAATAATAATAATAATAATAATAATAATAATAATTACTTATACCCCACCCCAGCCACTCTGGGCAGTTTCCCCAGCCACTCTGGGCGGCTTCCAACAAAATATTAAAATACAATAGTCCTTCAGATATTAAAAGCTTCCCTAAACAGGGCTGTCTGCATATGTCTCCTAAAAGTCTAGTAGTAGTTTTTTCCTTTGACATCTGATGGGAGGGTGTTCCACAGGGCGGGTGCCACTACCAAGAAGGCCCTCTGCCTGGTTCCCTGTAACTTCACTTCTTGCAGTGAGGGAACTGCCAGAAGGCCCTCGGTGCTAGACCTCAGTGTAATAATAATAATAATAATAATAATAATAATAATAAGTATAGAAATAAAAAATATTGGGTTTTAAGGCCAAAACTAGAGTATTGTTCCTCAACTGATTAATGTGTGCTATTAACTTTAATACAGATTAAGTGCAGTGGGCAGCATAAAAAGCCAGAAAGAGTATAACCCTGGGCTTATGATTGTTTATAAATGACAATGAAGGAATTGAGGGGATGCCTATCACATTTGCAGATGACACCAAAGTGTAACTAATGCCACAGAAGACAGAATCGGGATTCAAGATGAATTTAACAGATTGAAGAATCGGGTCCAAACTAAGAAAATGAATTTCAGTAGAGGCAAATGCAAGCTTCTACACTTGGGCAGTAATAAACAGCTGCACAGATATAAGATGTCTTGCCAGTAGTACATGAGAAAAGGATCTAGGGGTCTTGGTGGACCACAAGCTTAACATGAGTCAACAGTGTGATGCAGCAGCAAAAACAGCTAGTGCTATTCTGGCTGAATCAACGGAAGTTTAGTGTCCCGATCAAGGGAAGGAATAGCAATGCTCTGTTCTGCCTTGGTTAGACCACACCTGGAGTACTGTGTCCTTCTAAGATATTGACAAGAAAGATATTGACAAGCTAGAACATGTGCAGAGGAGGGTGACCAAGATGATCAAGGGTTTGGAAACCAAGTCTTGTGAGGAACGGCTGGGGGACCTGGGTATGTTTAGCCTAGAAAAGAGGAGACTGAGAGGAGATATGATAGCCATCTTCAAATATCTGAAGATGGAAGATGGAGCAAGTTTGTTTTCTTCTGCTCCGGAGGGCAGGATCCGAACCAATGGATTCGAGTTGCAAGAAAGGAGATTCTGATTAAACACCAGGAAGAACTTTCTGGCAGTAAGAGCTACTTATGCAACATTCCCTCAAATTTTTTGTATATATATATATGTATTTGTATATAATGAGCATGTGCTGATCTATAGTGGATATACGCAGATTTAGAAAGAACAATGATCTTTGAAGTTGAAATATGGGGGGTGGCAGACTTTGTCTGCATGACCTTTGTGCCCAGGTGTTAACTGTGGATGTGTGTGTTAACTGCTTCTGTTAGAATTCCTGCTCCATGATTGCAGTCATGGGATTTTGGTCTATCACATGACAGTATATGTTTTGACTCCACAGAGTGGGAAGTGACGGAGACCGGATGTTTGTGTTACCGTGTTCCATGAAGTGGGACTATTGTCCTTTATTTTCTCTCTCTTTGGTGTCTGATGCTAGAGAGAGAGGGAGCCATGTTGCAGTGCTCTGTGTGTGTTTATATGTAAATAAAGTAGATTAGCCAAAATGCTGAGTTGCTGAGGTCTGTTACACATGATGCACAAACTCTGCGGATCCCTAAGTTTGCCGATGTCTGTTGGCATCAGTCGCTGTGATGTTCGGGCAGAAGAAAGCTTTTGAAGCTCCTAATAGACCAGGAGGGAGGGAACATGCCAATCTGGTATGTGTCTCTACCAGGGTCCTACTCGAGTGTAGGACGAGCTCCTGACAGCTTCATGGCCCCTATTGTGGGGCTGTTTAGAAGTGTCTTTGAGAAAGAAACGAGATGCTACCCCAGTGTTTTGTCTCTAGAAAAAAAGGTGCTGGTACTCTGGGTGGTTGCCCTGGGCACAAAATTTCCTCGGGGCCAAGAAAAGAATTACATGTAAAACAATTACATGTTTTACTGGAACTTCATTAAGATCTTGGTTTACAGTTATTACATGATGCGTGATAATTAAATGACTTGCTGCAACAACAGACCTTTTTCTGTACTCTTAGTACCTGACTGTGCATGCTTATTTTCACCACAGGGTTACACCATCCAGCAATCTGCCGGGACACAGGCACTTGCCTCCAGTGCTTTTTCTTTTTCTTTTTAAAGAAAAAAAAGTGCAGGTACTCATCATGACGTTGTTATAGTAACTGCCACATTTTTAACTTTTTTTGGGGGGGGGAGCTGCTGGTACTGTGTACCCTTGCATACCCCCAGAAAAAACCACTGTGCTACAGCAGTTGGAATTTGATTGCTGGGGCCAACACAAGGAACTTTGGGGTCCATGTGGGGCTGCCCCAGATGCTGCCTATTGGGGATTGCAACTTGAAGCATCTCAGTATTCTTGCTCTGGACTGGGCTTGATGTTTACCTTCCCACCAGAGTGGTACCTATTTATCTACTTGCACTTTGATGTGCTTTCGAACTGCTAGGTTAGCAGGAGCTGGGACCGAGCAACGCGAGCTCACCCCATCACGGGGATTCGAACCGCCAACCTTCTGATCGGCAAGCCCTGGGCTCTGTGGTTTAACCCACAGCACCACCCGCAACCCTCCTGGACAGGTAGTGCTGCGTAAAAGCTTCCCGTTGAGGCTGGGGCTTGGCCTGAACAACAAAGCTTCCTTGGCTCTTATTTGTTTCTGTTTGCCCCTCGGTGTGGACTCCCAGAGTCCTTGCCCCTGGCTCACCTCTGACAGCTGCTGAGGGCTTAGCCTTGGCCGTTCTCTGCTTTTTCTCCATTGCCTTATATGATCTTTATGTGCAGCTGACAGATCTGATATTCAACTTGCCAGGAAAAAGGGGTCCAAGTTTTTAAAATGACAGCCAGCTAGCAAGGGAATAAATCAAGCTAACTAGTAACATGCAGGACCCTGTTCTGCATTCATCTCCCCCTGCTGTAGAAATGTTTCTCCTCTTACTTAGCCAGATACAAATTAAAAGCAAAAACAATCCAGCCTCCCTCTATCAGTTCACTCGGCTGAATTCTGCAGACTGTTGCGAGAGAATTACATTTTGTAGCCGTTGCGAGCATGGTGTCTTCTAATTGAGATGTCTAAATCGCTTCGAGCATCCTCAGTTGAAAACCAATTAATACATATCGCACTCAAAACAGCCCTTTTTGTTAAGGCTCAATTAAGGGAGATATAATGAGGCCATCCCAGGTGAAACTCCTGGCACATGTTGCGTGTGCTCCATTTTGAATGATAGCTGTGACGTGCAGGCTGGCTTTGAACTAGTTTTTTGTCTGTCACTCACGCCCGCAAAAAACCCTATAGGCGCAGGCATAAATGAGAACTTGATTGACTTTTTAAAAGCTGCCTTAAATAAGAGATGAAGTTTAGTTAACTTCCTTATGGGCATGGGAAAGCGATGATTTACCTTTGCAATGCTCCCCGTGTCCGTAGTCCTAGCAGACTTTGCCGAGATATTAGCAGTCACTGCTTTGGAATCATTCTGACCCCTACACAGTGGTTTCCGGCAACCACAGATGTATTTAATTTTTAATTACTGGTGTGGCAATTTTTGTTTCTGGCTTAGGAGTGTACTGAGCTGAATTGAGGATCTTCTTCTTCTGATTTCTTTGGCGATCACTCGTAGCTGAGTAAGATTGTCTTCCATAAACACGGTTTTAACAATGAGTCCATAAGTGACACTGGAGGCCAATTCTGGATCCACACGTCCATTGAGACAGTGGGGACATAGGTTTCCGGGCGGGAGTTGATCACGGTCTGGATTTGCCAAGCGTGCCTTCCTCCTAGCACGTTTCTCCCTTGCGTCCTGAGTTCGAGTGTCTTCAAAACCCATGACACCTTTGGTCAAGGCTGTTCTCCAACTGGAGCGCTTGCAGACCAGTGGTTCCCAGTCGTCAGTGTTTATACTACATTTTTTTAGATTTGCCTTGAGACAGTCTTTAAACCTCTTTTGTTAACCACCAACATTATACTTTCCATTTTTAAGTTAGGAATAGGGTAGTTGCTTTAGAAGACGATAATCAGCATCCACACAACATGACCAGTCCAACGAAGTTGATGTTGAAGAATAATTGCTTCAACACTGGTGATCTTTGCTTCTTCCAGTACACTGGCATTAGTTTGCCTGTCTTCCCAAGTGATGTGTAAAAATTTTCGGAGTGTATTGAGCTGAATTGAGGATTATTCACGTGATCTGTCACTTAGTTCATTTAGGAAATCATTTCTGGCTTTGCATTTCCAGCTCATTTCTTCAGAATATGTTACAGCAAAATACCTGTGGCAGAGGCACAGAGTGCAAGTGGTGCAGTGGCACCGGGTGCGTAGCCGAGGAGGGCACCTTCTGAGTGTTTGCCTAGCTTCTGGAAGGATGTGTGAGGGCTCTGGCAGGGTCCTAAGTCCTCCTGCCTCCTTCCCAAAGCTGGCCAAGTGCTTACCAGACTTTGGGGACGAGGGAGGCTGAAAAAGGTTCCCTACCTATGAGCTAAAATCATGAAGCTGTCTTCAGCCTGACCAGCAAAAAAGCAACCGCCCCGTGGTGAAATGCCACTTCAACTGCTATTTACTAGGCAGTCACCTCCATCTCTCTGGTGATGTGCACAATAGACAGGAGCAATTAAGCGATACTTCGCTGAAATGCTCCACAGACACTGGCTGCAGCTGCTGATAGCTCGTATGCAAAAGAATGGCGTTTTGAGCCACTTTCGAGAATGGTATTGCTTTACATCTTGCATTATGTATCATATTTGCGGCGCATAATTCTGTGGCAATAATGCCAGGCGCACAGAGCCTTGAATTGAATGGCACTTTGCTTTTTTGGGGCGGGTGGGGAGAGGCATAGTCAAGATGGGAAGAATGCTCCATGCAGAAGATAATGGTCCTGATGATACCCTATCTTTCAACAAGCAGCTGCATCATCATGATGTTATTTAATGTCATATATATATATATATATATATATATATATATATATATGATGAGCAGTGTAGCATCTGGGACTCTCCTGACTGTAAAAATGTGACTTTTCCCCCTCTTCTGTGCTTGCTGAATTTCACAACTGTTGGGGGACATGCTTCTCTTTTGCGGCAAAGTCCTTGGGGTTGAATACAGCCCCCAACCAAGCCTCTCTACCTGCCCTCCAGGACTCACCCCAGTGCATAGCCCCTCCTCAGCCAGTGTTAGGCTTCAGGGAATTCTATCCCTCCCTCCGGTGGCAGCAAGAAGCAAAAAACAAAAATGAAGAAGAGTTCTTACTAATGAGTTTATTCAATCATCACAGCGAGAGACAAGGAATGCAGTCTTCCTTCTGTTAATGGTGTTGTTCCAGCTGAGCTCCTTGCCCCTCCCTTCCTAGCAACAGCACTTCCCCTCACGGTAGCCGCCAGGGGTTAATTGTCTCTGAGTCCTTTGCTCTTGCTCTCTCAATGGACGCTGAGTTCTGGGAGAAGGGGGCTCAGAAATACTCTCCAGTGATAATGTGTCAGCTGGCTGCTCTGTCTCTGTCTCCCCCCTCCCAACACCTCCCAACTCTTCTTCGAGAGACAGTGTGGTGTAGTGGTTAAGAGCAGTAGACTCGTAATCTGGTGAACCGGGTTCACTTCCCTGCTCCTCCACATGCAGCTGCTGGGTGACCTTGGGCTAGTCACACTTCTGTGAAGTCTCTCAGCCCCACGCACCTCACAGAGTGTTTGTTGTGGGGGAGGAAGGGAAAGGAGAATGTTAGTTGCTTTGAGACTCCTTTGGGTAGTGATAAAGTGGGATATCAAATCCAAACTCATCTTCTTCTTCTTCTGTTCGCCTCTCTCTGAGCTGTGACCTTCCTCAGACCACTGCTGTAATTCAATATTGCCTTCCTCTTCTCTGGAAGCAACAGAAGAAGGGCGGGTGATCTCCCTCATTCCTCCTCAATCTCATCACCTTCAGACCAGTCCCTGACAACCAGTGATAAAGCCAGGGCAGTGTAGCAGTTAGTGCTGGTAGAGGGTTCAAGTCCCCACTCAGCCATGAAGCTCACTGGGTGACCAAGGGCCAGTCACTTACTCTCAGCCTTGTGAGGATAAAATGGGCAGGAGAACTATGCATGCTACATTGAGTTCCTAGGGGGAAAGCTGGGATTTAGATATAGTGAATAAGCAAACAAATAAGCTACACATCCTCCTGGCTCTGCTTCATGTCCTACTTGAATGCTTTTGCCTGGCTAGAATGCAGCCTTGAATTCTGATCATGCTTCTTGCTTCCAGGGATGGAGGATAGAGAAAGGTGTGTGTGTGTGTAGAAACCAGCTATAGTATCAATGTCACATTTGCATTAATTGCTGCACCCACTATTGTCTCTAGCCCCACCCACCACGTGCAAGGTCACCCAGAGGACTATACAACCTTCAGCCTGAAAAAAAAAAGAAGAAAAAGTTTCCTATGGAGACCCGGTACCTACAATTCACAAGAAAAGGGATGCGGTAATTCAGAAAGGTCTGAGTCTGAAATCCTCTACCCTGATAGGCTCACTGCACACAATGGGCATGTCAGTAGCTAAGCAGTAGTCAAATCATGGGTGTGGCTCTTGCTGGATGACACCACTTTGCACCATGAAGGAAGAATCATCTGAGACATTATCCTATGTATTACTGTTATTAAATTTATATGCCCCCTAATATTTATCACATTTATATCCCACTTCACTTTTAGAGTTGCTACAGTGGAATCCCTGATGTGGACATTGTGCAGAGTAAAAATGAATTTGCTCTTCACCTCAATAATGAATTTCAAAGCTTTGCTGGAAACAGAATTTAAATAGTAACAAAATAAACATTGGCAAAAAATAAGAAGTAACACATTGCTCTTAAACAAACAAGCAATGTGTTCTTGTCATAGTTAAGTCCATAAAACAGTTGAATAAATTTCCTCTCTCTGGTCCCAGAGAGAGATCCTAAGCAACTTGCTTCTTTATCATCTCAGAGCTTAGCTTCTGCTTCTGGCTTCATTGCTGACAAAGACTTAGGTCTCAGGTTTCATCTTCTTGCTGTGAGAGATCTGTAGCTCAGGTAATGACTCATCATTTAAGCTAAAGATGGAAAGAGAAACATCCAACCTTTTCTGCCGCATTTGCCAGAATGAAACCTCCTGTGCCTAATGCAAACTTCTCTTTGCAAAATGTTTTCAAACACTATGTGTACAAACATTACATCTTTAGTGTATTAAACTTTTATCTTTAACACTTTCAAGGGGGTGTACATTTCCCCCTCCTCATTTTATCTTTACAAAAAACTTATAGGGTGTTAGGCAGAAAGACTTCAACTTTTCCAAGGTCAACCTGTGAGCTTCATGGCTGAATGGGGATTCAAACTCCTGATCTGCCATATCCTAGTTCAACAGGCTAATCACTACCCCCACACTGCCAAAGCAGGCTTCTAAGAAGTTCAGAAGCATAAAAGCCCATTGCATACACATTAAAATACACATAATTTAAATACACAGTAGAACAATCTCATCAAAACAAGAGTAGGGAACTTGATCTGTCAATCACATTGATGCCATAGTCATAGTTGTTTTGCCAGCATGCTCTCCTGTATAACTTATTCTTTGGGGCACAATATGAAGTAACCTGCAGATTTTGAGTCATACTTCAGATGTTTTGCTTCTTCTCATAAGGGGAAGGAGGTCTAGATTTTTGTAAACATGCCACAGTATTTAACTAGTGGTTGGTAGAGGTAAGGACACCTGCAAAATTTGAATTCTGGGAATTCCAATGGGAACTTACCTGAGCTACACCTGCTGGACCAAATTGCAGATTGGAATGCAATTTTCCTTTGGTTTTTACACATCTCCAAATATTGTGATACAGTTATTAGCTTAAAAAAGCACTGTCTAAAATGATAAAATATGTTTAGAAATGCATTGAGATTAAATATTATTTAAAGACATAATTGTGATGAAATATAGATTTGAAAATAAATTCTTCTGCTGATTTTTTTTAACCAAAAAAAAAATGCAGAATAATATAGAACCAGTCGCAGGAATGAAAAAGTGTAAAACAAACATAATCTGGAAACAAACTGCTCTGTGTATCCCTAAAACAGAAGTATTTTGAGGTGGTTTAATTTCTCAACACATTTTTTGTTTCAAATATTTCGCTTTCCATTCCTTTGAATTGCACTCCTATTATTTTCCAACTTGTTTTCTTCCTCACAATTGATTTCAAACGTAGATCCAGGCGGCCGTCTGTTCTCGGCGCCGTCTGTGTTTTCCATCCAAATGTCATGACATTTTCAGGCGCTCTGCTACCTGCCCTACTCCTTGAGGGCATCAGATCTGAGAAATTTCAGATCAATAGAAGAAAGGGCCCTAGTTTTGGAGGTCCTGTTTTATACATGTCAATTTCACTGCGCACACACACTCCCCTGCCTTTCTGTGACCTGTACAGGCTGTTCCAGAACTACTTCAAATTTTCATCCCTATAAAAAAAAAGAAAAAGAAATTGAGAAGCAGTGTGGTGCCATGAATAGGGTATTAGACCAGGACTGGGAAGAACCTTCTTCAAATCCATAATGGAACTCACTGGGTGACTTTGGAGCATCGTTGTTATTTCAGCCTAGCCTACCTACCTCATAAGGTTGTTGTGTGGACAAAAGGTGGAGGCTATGTGTGGAAAATTCTGTACCCCACCTTGAGCTTCTTGGAGGAAAGATGGCCTACAAATGTAATCAATCAATCAGTCAATCAGTCAATCAATCAATCAATCAATCAATCAAAATGTGTTGGCATTCCCCAAAAGTGACACTGCATTTTCAGGACATGGGTCCACAATGGCCTTTGTGATTTTTGAAACTGTGGGATTTTCCAAATGGTCAGCTTGCAGACCAGCACAGAGGTGGGCAACCTTCAGCCCTAGGAAGATAGGTGACCCTTGGCTTGAATCCACAGATCATGAGATAAAAGATAAGAGAATTGAAAGATGCTCCTCAGCAAAACTCCAGAAGCTGCCTTAAACTGAATCAGACCATTGGTTATCTAGCTTGGTATCATCTACACCAGGGTTTCCCAATGTTGGGTTGCCAGCTGTTTTTGGACTACAATTCCCATCATCTCTGACCACTTGTCCTGCTAGCGAGGGATGATGGGAGTTGCAGTCCAACAACAGCTAGAAACCCAACTTTGGGAAACCCTCATCTACACTGATTGGCAGTGGCTCCCCAGGATTTAAGAGAGGAGACTATCACAGCCCTACCTGGAGATCTGGAGAACCTGGGACCTTCTACATGCAAAGGAGACGCTCCATGCCTGGACATCTGCTTTGCCCAACCTCTTGCCCAACCAGCTGTTGGCTGAGTGATGATGCTGGACTGTTGCTCATATAATAATGGCATTTCTTTTTCTCTCTCCAGTCGGTGCAGTTCATATAATTCTGAAGATATCCTGCACACAACAAGTTGCCCCTCCTTTTCTTTCATTCCCTTCCCCACTCAGATCTGCGATCGCTGTTCAAAACAACCCTTGTTCCTTTATGTGGGACACTTATCTGTAGCTCCAAATATGTGATTTTTTAAACTTCAGAAACAGGAAACCACAGATATTCATTTCATCTCTCCGTCTCGGGGCCTTTAGAGACTTGCACAACCGGGAGCTGCATATCCAAATACATGTTAGTATTCTGCTCATGCCAGCATCTTCCCCAAGGATAAAACCACAAAAAATGAAATGTTGCAAATGGCCCATATTCTTGCTGAAGGAGCAATGGTATAGATCCTGCATTTGTTGATTAGATCTCTCTCTCTCTCTCTGTCACACACACACACACACACACTTTTTGAGACAACCCAGTGGCCTTTTATTTAACTGGTTGATTCCACCTCTCGTAAGAAGAGTTATTTGTCAAATGCATGCAGCTTCTTTCCAAAGACCTTTCACTTAAAGCACATGAGAAAGCTTGACAGTATTATTATTCTTCTTCTTTAAATTCCATCTGCTCCTTCTTCATTTAAATATGGCGGCTGTTAATGTGATTTGCCATGTATATTGTAATTGGAACGTCCAAAGTGCATCATTAAAACCATAATTTTTATAACTTTTTAATGTAGCACTTAAAGACATAAGAAGCTTTTCGCAAAATGATAAAATGAGCAAGTTCACTTCCCCGTATTACCGATGGGTTACTGAGATCCAATTTAAGCACTGCCCTTGCAGACTCCCTTTTCTCCTGTGACAGCACAGGGGTGGGGTTGTAGCTGACCTCACTTTAGAAGGAGGCAGGATAATGCACAATATCTGCAGGCACCCATCATGTCTATACCCAGGCCAGCAGTGGGCAAAGTCATGAGTATATAAAGACAGAGTCTCAAACCTGCTTAGTTTGCACTCCCTGAAACAATACATGAAGAAGAAGAAGAAGAAGAAGAAGAAGAAGAAGAGAAGAGTTTGGATTTGGTATCCCGCTTTATCACTACCCCAAGGAGTCTCAAAGCGGCTAACATTCTCCTTTCCCTTCCTCCCCCACAACAAACACTCTGTGAGGTGAGTGGGGCTGAGAGACTTCAAAGAAGTGTGACTAGCCCAAGGTCACCCAGCAGCTGCATGTGGAGGAGCGGGGAAGCGAACCCGGTTCACAAGATTACGAGTCCACCGCTCTTAACCACTACACCACAAGGCTCAGTTACACCTCAAAATTCACACTACTCCAAATATTGCAACGCAGTCTTCCAACCCTGCTGAGATATATTATGGGAAAGTGTGCATAAAAATGAAGAGATTAGTGAAAATGAAATACGAAAATGCATCATACCAGTGGAAACTGCTTGCATGGTCACCCTGGACTTGCCATGACCAAAGGGTACACCAGCTATCAGAAGGCTGGATGATACTAGCTCAGAGGCATTCAGAACACCAAACTGCCATGGAAATTCTGGAAACTGGTCAGCCGTATACGCTTTGCTGCTGGACGCCAAATGGGGGATTAGATGCGGGCAGGGAGTGAATAGCTGAGGAAATTCTATCCGCTGGGCTGTAAATAAGAAGAAATGACTGTGGAGTATTCCAGCAGCCACCTCCTGAGCTCTTTCCTCCATTCAGACTGCTGAGAGGCTTTTAAAAGCCCACCACCATCCTGAGAAGGCACTTGGTATTTCCCTTTTTGTCTGGCACGGGGAGCAGGCGGGGAAAAGCTTTTGAAACTTCTCAGCAGCCGGAAAGATTTAAGTGGGCATCCTGGTGGCGAGAGTAATTTTAGCTCCCCTGATTATAATTGGCAGAAGGATGAAAAATGCTCTTTAAAAAACGAGGTTCAATGGCCCAAGCCTATTTGACTGATATTTAATGAGATGTCCACTGGATCTTACAATAAGTGACTAATTGTTAATTATAGACTTGCCAAAGGTGATCTTTTACTGCAGCTCTGCAAAACTGAGCTTGGAGAGTCCGGTTTAGCAGCCTTTCTAATGCCGCTGGGAAAAGAAAAGGCTGCGAGGAGGAAAGAAGCACAGAAGTTCTTGTTTATTCTCAAAAATCCTCATGCCTCGGCACAAATGCAAAGGACCTTCCCCCCTCCTGGACTAGCTGGGTCCATTGAGTGACTCTGCAGTTCTGAAGCCACAAAGTGTTCAATTCCTAAAGCTGGTGGAAGGCTGGTTGAAGAGTTGAGGGAAGCAGGGTGTCACTTAGCTGTCACTCAGGTTAAGGACCTCCTGGTCTCTTATATCTCTGCCTAGCAGAGGGGGACGCAGGTGGTGCTGTGGTGTAAACCACAGAGCCTAGGGTTTGCCAATCGGAAGGTCGGCGGTTCGAATCCCCACGATGGGGTGAGCGCCCATTGCTCGGTCCCTGCTCCTGCCAGCCTAGCAGTTCGAAAGCACATCAAAGTGCAAGTAGATAAATAGGTACCGCTCCGGCAGGAAGGTAAACGGTGTTTCTGTGTGCTGCTCTGGTTTGCCAGAAGCGGCTTAGTCATGCTGGCCACATGACCTGGAAGCTGTCTGTGGACAAACACCGTCTCCCTTGGCCTATAGAGCGAGATGAGCGCGCAACCCCAGAGTCGTCCGCGACTGGACCTAATGGTCAGGGGTACCTTTACCTTTTAGCAGGAATTTTAATGCTTTTATGATGGCTTTTTATTGTTTTCATTCTCTGTATGGTATATTTTTCTGCACACCGCTTAGAAATCATTGTTATTGATTAGATTTATTAGATTTATATACCGCCCTTCATCAAGAGATCTCAGGGCGGTTCACAAAATCAATCCAGACTAAATAATCTGGAGTCCCAGATCAGATTCCCAAGTACTCTTGTAAAACTGCGCCGCACTGTTGTACGAAAAGGCAACCCATTAAGGCTCCCATTTTACAGATGACAGGCACTCCAAGGGGGGAGTTCTGAGGAGGGGGAGGAGGTCCGCCCCAGGTACCATTCCAAAGGGGTGAATGCCAACCCCCGATCAGCTGCACCCCCTGGGACATGCGCCATGCCCCGTTATGTACACCGTGCACCACACCCCCTGGGATGCATGCCATGCCCCCTGGGACGAACGCCGCTCCGGGTACCAGAGCAGGTTGCTTCGCCTCTGCTGAGATCAATAGACCTAAGTAGTAAGGGACAACAAAACTGTTGCCTGAGCGATCACCTCAATTTATTGAGAGAGCACAGCAGCCGCATCAGAGCCCAGGAGGTCTCTGGCTGGAAGAGACAAGCCATTGCCCTGACTCAAGGCAATGCAGACAAACAGATATATTGTGCTTGTCCATATAATCCTATTTTGTAACAGTTGCTGCTTACAACAGGTACTACTATGCCATAAGATCCATTGTCTTGTAATATCACATATGGTATGTACAGTTATTTATTGTTTGATATTATTTTTGCTGTAAAATGTGTGAGATCATGATATTGTATTTATTTGCATTACTTAGTGCTTTAACTACCAATGAAGCCCAGGACGGCGAAACAAGGCCAATATTCCGGAAATCCTTGTCTAGACTCTGTGAAAGGATTTTGTGGAACTGTAACAACCTTTCATGTGGATTGTTTGGACTTTATGAACAGACAGGTGGAATAGACACCATTACATGGATGGACCTTATGCATGAAATTGACTAGAGAATGATCTGACCCACTGGGTCTTCTGCTTTGTTCATTTGTTGAACTTTATGAGTTACTTCTGTTGAAATTTACAATCAATGAATAGTATACCTTATTTATTTAAGAACACAGCCAGTTACATCTTGTGTGTTTATTGATGATGCTTTATGTGACCATAGGTTGGTTTGCTGTTGTTCTCTTTTCCCGCAAGCACAGAGTGAAATGGCACCAGCCTACACCCGCCCCAGGCAGCACTCACTGTGAGACCCAGAGAGCGTGAGAGGTTCAGCTGCATGGTCCAGTCCAGGGCTCCACATCGCATGAAACCAGTGAGTTGTGGGCATGTACACAATTTCAGTGAAAGAAACACATTGGCAACCTGGCACTGCTGTTTCCTCCTTGTGTATCATCATGCGTTGGCCGTTCATCATTCATGCTAACGATTAAGCAGTATATAAATGCCTGAAATAAAGAAAATAAATAGCAATAAATTTGCAGAGGAGGCCAGCTGGCAAGGAAAGTACTCAGCACCACTGCAGCTGCCCCCCTGCCCCTTGGTATCCCAGACAAAAGCACCCCAGGGGCAGAAATCCACTAGTGCTGTTGTATTGGTGCATGGTAGGAATGGGAACCTGTTGTGCCGGGTGCAGCTGGTGAGCTGCACATATATATTGAATTTTGCAATGTAGGAATGTGGGTGGCGCTGTGGGTTAAACCACAGAGCCTAGGATTTGCCAATCAGAAGGTTGGCGGTTCGAATCCCCTTGACGGAGGTGAGCTCCCATTGCTTGGTCCCTGCTCCTGCTAACCTAGCAGTTCAAAAGCACGTCAAAGTGCAAGTAGATAAATAGGTACCACTCCAGTGGGGAGGTAAACGGCGTTTCTGTGCACTGCTCTGGTTCGCCAGAAGCGGCTTAGTCATGCTGGCCACATGACCTGGAAGCTGTACGCCGGCTCCCTCGGCCAATAAAGCGAGATGAGCGCCGCAACCCCAGAGTCGGCCACGCCTGGACCTAATGGTCAGGGGTCCCTTTACCTTTACCTTATGCAATTAGTTTGTGTAGGGTCCCACTTTTTTTAATTATACAACTCTTTGGCTGGCAAGGGCCATTGGGTAAGCAATAAAGATTTTTTTATTCAGCCTTCAGGGGATTTCAGACTGTTGCATTCTGCTAACACAGCCCTCCCCCAAGAGAATCCTCCACTATGCAATCCCTGGGGACAGAGCTATAATCTCCAGGGTTTAACATTCAATCCCTCTTTCCCAGGGAACTCTGGGAATTGTAGTCCTATCAGGGGAATAGGGTGTCTCCTAACTGTCAGCACCCTTAATGAACTAAAATCCCCAGTATTTGGGGGGGAAGCCACTGCTGATTATAGTGACAGGATACTGCTTGAAAAGTATAGTGCAGAAGATCACAACTCTTCTCAGTATCTGAATACAGAGAGAGGAAATCTTTGTAGAGGACTCAAGTGTGCTTCAGTCTCTTTGGTTTAACCTTCCCTCTAATCCTCAGCTCTCTTTTGTCTCCTGTAGCTTTATTTAATTCTCTTTCTCCCTCTTCCCAATTCCTCGCTTCCTTTATCACTGTTCCTGTTCCCTTCCTCTAGGCCTTCAGCTCCAAAGAAAACGATGAAAGAACGAACGAGACACCAGCAAGGCAGGCGTCAAACATTGGCGTGCGGTTTTCCCATCCAGAAGAGGACACAAAGAAGATGAACTTGACTTCTTGGGCTCCCGTCACTGTGGGCTTGTATGTATTTAGAATTTAATTTCTCATTACAGAAGCAAATGCTCAGTTAATTATTCATAGGGCCACCTGCCTCCCTCCCCTCTACATTTTGCATTTGAATGTCCTTTCCAAGGATTAAAGATGCATAGCTTCCTTTAGCATCTTAATCCAGTTAAATACAATAGTCAGCAATAATTCTTTTCCAGGATATTGTTCTTGGTTTGTTCATTGGCTGGTGGCGCAGGCTTTCATGGAGGCTGTATATATATATTTCCCCTGAAGTTTGAGAGGTTCTATTTAGGAGTATAGGAAGCTCCAACTGGAGCGCTCTCAGGCCAGTGTTTCCCAGTTGTCGGTGTTTATACCACATATTTTTAGATTTGCCTTGAGAGAGTCTTTATATGCTTTCCATTTTTAAGTTCGGATTAGAGTAGTTGCTTTGGAAGATGATAATCAGGCATCCGCACAACATGACCAGTCCAACTAAGCTGAAGGTGCCATTGGCTTTGAAGACACTCAAACTCAGGACGAAAGGGAGAAATGAGCTAAGAGGAAGGTATTCTTGGCAAACCCTCACCATGATCAACTCCCGTCTGGAAACCTATGTCCCCACTGTGGAAGGACGTGTGGCTCCAGAACTGGCCTCCAGAGTCACTTACAGACTCACTGTAAAAACCATGTTTATGGAAGACAATCTTACTTCGCTAGTAGTGATTGCCAAAGAAGAAGAATAGGAAGCTGCCTTATACTGAGAGTCAAACCACTGACCCATCTAACTCAGTACTGTCTACACAAGACTGGCAGTGGCTTTCCAGGGTTTAAGACTGAAGTCTCTCCCAGCCCTACCTAGAGATTGAACCTGAGACCTTCGGCATCCACCTCCATTCCTACCTAATCTGATATACCATTGGACTTACTCCTAGAGGGATGCTTCAGTTAATTAAGGCTGCAACCTTATAGGGGGTGTGTGGGATGTTAGGGGAGGGGTAGTACCCCTGGTGAGGTACATGTCATTCTCTTTCTGGGATTGTTTGTCCACCCTGCCCTCATCTCCTACCTGTGGCTCCTAGAAGCTGTCAGCGTGTAACAACGGCCACCCCCCGCCCCCACAAGAATTGGCTAAACCAGGTGAGGGTAACCGACAGGTTTGGTAAGTTTAAAATGGGTTTACTCACAAACTCTCCAAAGGTCAGATTGATGTGCTTTTCCATACAGCATTCAGAAGAAGTGCACAAGCAGTAAAACTTTACAGTGGTGAAAGTTACTGAATTATTGGTATAGGAGCCCTAGAGGGCTTGTAAGAGCCATGTGGTCCTTCCCAAAGTGAGCTAAGCCTGGCAGGACTCTATGGTGTTAACCCCTTTAGACTTAAGTATGTTACTTGTATGTGGCTGGTTATCCCACAATAACTACTCCATTATTACATAACAACAGTAAGCAGTCCATACAGTAGAACATTGGAAGCTGGCTTATACTAAGTCAGGCCCAAAGGCCCACCTAGATCAGTTTCCAACATTTGGCAGTGGTACTCCCGGGTTTCAGGTGGAAGATCGTCTCTGTCCAACCTGGAGATGCCAGGGATTGGACCTGGGACCTTCTGCACACTTGCGGTATGGATACTTGTCTGAAAACAATACATCTTGCATAGTTGCAGATGAGATGCACAGTTGCTCAAACAGCTGCACCTCTTACAGGAGGTCATTCCAGAGACCTATATAAAAAAAGCAGCTCTTCCTGTGACTTCACTACCTTCACTGAAACAGTAAGAAGCAGGACTCTTGAAGATGATCCCGAGAGGAAGACGCGCCGCCTTGTAAGCATTTCACACACCAAGGAACCCCAGCAAACGAGCCATGTGTCTCTTCTGAAACAAAGAACATTCCCTTAAAAAAATAAGGGACATCTGGCAATTTCTATTTGGCAGTAAAAGTTACCACATTGTGACAGCAGAGCATCAATCAGCGGCGACTGACTAATGATGTGATTATTCACATTCAGTTATTGATAGGCGTGCTTAGTGCACAGAAGGAACGAGGCTCGAGGAGAATGATAAGCAGTGGCAGAGGGACATGGCACAGGAAAAGGTGCGCAGGATGAAAACTATGGAAGCTGTGGAAGATAAGGGGTGTGGAACAAAGAACAGGAGGAAGAACAAGAGTATGCCTTCCATCAGGAGTTGTGAACAGATGGCTAGGTCTAACCTGCCCTCTCCACCTCAAGCATTTTGAGGTGCTCTGCTAAGGGTTGCAAGGGAAGTGGAGAAAGCAAATAGGCCACACCAGGTGAGGCAAGCAGGTCAAATCCAGGCGAAGTCAATGCAGGCCTATTTAAGCCAAGGAGGGTGGAATCTTTTCCACCCCAACGGCTGCATTCATTCATTTTTAAGCAATCTTCCAGGGACCACATGCCAGTGGTGAGGAGGGAGGGGGGCAGAGGGAAAAGTGGACAGAGCAACGAATGCAAATCTTACCTTTGTCTCTACATATAACCCTCACCCAGACAAGCAAGAGTTCAAGGACACATTCCATCCAGACAAAAGCACTTGGATTATGAAGCAAGGCTGGTGAGGGGAGGATAAGGAAGCCTGGAGGGCCACATTTAGGTGCTGGGCCTGAGATTTCCCATCGATAATCCAGGCAGATCAGGTGTGGGCACTACTGGCTAGGGGTTGGAAGATGTAGTCTCAGTCGGGGCTAGGCATGTCTGAGGTCTTATGTAGGCAGGCGATTCCCTTCTGCAATATGCCCATCTCCCCGAGGAGCTGGCTGTGTTCCCTTCACAGAGTTACAATTCCCAGAGTTCCCTGAGAAGAGGGATTTGTTGCTGAAGCACTCTGGAAAATGTAGTTCTGTGAGGGGAACAGGGGTCTCCTAAGAACTCTTGGTACTAGGGGTAGTGCATTCTGGTTTGAGGCCTGAGTGTTAGGATCGCCCTACTCACGTGTAGGCCCCTGGCAGAGACACATGCCCGGCTGGCATGTTCTCTCCCTCCTGCTCGATCATCCGGGAGCTTCAAAAGCTTTCTCCAGCCCAAACATCTCAGCGACTGATACCAAGAGGCATTAGCACACTTAGGATCCTGCAGAGTATTTGCAGTTTGCGTAACAGAACTCAGTAGCACAGCATTTTGGCTAATCTACTTTATTTACATATAATACACTCAGAGCATTCTGACTTAGCTCTTTCCTCTTTCTCACCAGACAGCAAAGAGAAATAAATAAATGACAAAAGTTCTACATTCCAGAACACAGTAACATAAACATCCTGTTTCCGTCACTTCCCACTATGTGGAATGAAAGCATACACCATCATGTGATAGACAACAATCCCATGACTGCAAACACAGAGCAGGAATCCTAACACTGGGATGCTGTCCAACACTGCCACTACCACCCTTACCTGGGTTGTGCGGTAGCACCTGCAAAGCACAAAATTTGAATATGCTCATTTATGTCTCAATGCAAATTGACTTCAGCTGCATCAAAGGTGCTAATTCCAATAGATAATTACAACTTGCCATCAGCCTCACAGGCCCAACTGGCTTGGGAGGCACTTGCTGCCAGATGGGAATACCGTGAACATCATCAGCTACCCATGGCATCATCACTTGCAAGGCTCTCTCTCTTCCTGTGAGACTGGTGTTCTTGGAGGTGCATTCTTCTCCAAATTGGGGTGTGGGACTTCTCCCAAAGATGGAGGTGGCACCCAGTGTCAGTTTGCATTTCTTAGTACAGAAAATATTGACCTGATGTGTAGAGATCTTTCCTGTTCTGCTTAGTTCAAGAGGGTTCTGGAAGGTTTCTTTCTATGTGAAAGAAACAGGCAGAAGGTTTCTGATGCTTGGGTTATTCCTTCTGGGAAGCTGGTTTAAACTGGTTCTGTTATCTTTCTGTCAAGGTCATGCTGACTGTAATAGTCAGGCCAGGAGGAGGCTGGGTTTCACTTACTTTCTCTTTTTATCTCTTTCTTCTGGTGTGGTCTGTTCTGTATGCTTAATGTTAAGGTTTAGTCCTATTATAAATATTATAAGTTAAGCTAAGTCTGCTGCAACTGGATCTTTTATGGACTGTGCCAATCCTGAATGTGTTCGATTTGTGGCCATTATGCTTATTTGCCTCCAGTAGCAGTAAAGCTCTGCTGGATGAAGTACAATTGCCTCTGGTCTATTTTTGGGAACTCTGCAACATATTTAAGTTTTTTTCCTCCTCTGGACAACACCTAGTTTTCAGGGATAAGACAGAGGACCCCTCCTTCTGCATTCCAGCCTCCCTTCCTGGTGTGGCGCTGACTCCCATCGCTAAGGAATCTGTTCTCTGTGTGGATGGGGAATGACAAAGACCTGGGAGGACCATCTCGCACTTCCTGGCCCCTTTGCGCTATGGGGCAGGGTCCCCATCCTGCCTCTCAGGTCACCCCACCAACTGCATTCTCTGCATCCTCCTCCTTTTCATCACCTGCCAGCAACTTCAGTCTTAGCCCCGAGCCTGTGAGGCAGATTAGTGAGAATCTGGAAGCAGCTGCAGGAAAGAGTGCTTTGCTTTGACAGACCTAATTTATTTGTTGAAAATCTGAAAGTGGGAACCTGCTTTGCCAGGAAATTCCTCCAGGTGATATTTTTTAAATGCAGAACCTGCCTCTAAATGGTGCGATGACTGAATTGGTGTTAGAAACCCGAAGAACACGAACATGGTTCTCCCAGGACAACTGAAGCAAGCAAGCAAACAAATTAATTGTTTAAGTGCTCTACAAATCTCTCCATGCAAACTGTTGAGACAATGTAAACATCTACCTCCCTCTCCTTGAAGTTTTACAGGCAATTAATTTAATTGGTTATGGCTGGTCTCATAGCTTCTGTTATGAACAAGAGCTATTCATTGCAAAGGTCAAGGGTAGTCTTGCAGTATATTAGCTGTAATTCTCTGAGGCATAATTTAGTTATTTATGTTGTAAGTTGATGTGCTTTGAGGTTCCTTCGCTATTGCTCTTTGCTACTCTCACGCAGCATTATAGATATGTTACAACATTGCACACTGCAATGCATTGCTTATCTAAGGTTGGTTATTCTCATATTAACCAGACCTGCTATTGAAATCTTCATTAAGAAGATCTGCTCAGAGCTTATGAACTACCACCTTATGAACTAAGGTGGGTGGCAATGAGAGACAAGCATCTTCTTGAAGGAATGGGTTTCTGTGTAGTAAGTTTAAAAACGGACTCAACCCCCCCCCTTTTTTGTTCTTTCAAAAGAGAGCACTTTTAAATGCGTAAAACTTGAACTGTTGAGCAAAACCATAATAAGGACACAACTGCATAAACAGTTCTGTCCTTTATCAGGACAGGCAAGGGATGGCCTTGGCTCTCCAGGGGAACAAAGAAAACACGTCAGAACTTTATCTTATGTGCTGACCACAAAATACGCGCAATACCAATGTCCGGGGAAAACGCCAAAAGCGTGTTCCCGGAGATTGTGACGTCTTCCCAGATAAGAGTAGGAAGAGGAAGATCCTTTTATGGTCAGAAGTACAGGAAGGAAGATCCTTTTATGGTTGAGAGTACCAGAGAGTACATATGTGATGTCAACCTGCGTACGTAGGCCGACGTGGTTGAGCTCCTAGGGGAGGAGTGAGAGGGTGCCTGAAGGATATATAAACTGCATGAAACCTGTCATTTCTTTGTACTTGCTGTGGACTCACCACGCAGGTGCCTTCTGCTATCCGGAGAGCAGAATAAACTCTTTCTTTGAACCAACCTCGGTGTCATTTTGACTTCCTTCCTCCTGTCCCGAAGCAATGCAGACCCAATCGGTGAACTCCAATAAGGCTACATTCTCAGTCGTGATTCATTGTTTGTGATACTTCTAATGTCCCTCTTGTTCACTTTTTGATGGCTTCCAGACACCACTTGAAAATAGGGATGAGTGGATCAGTCACTTTCTGGGCCTGGTAAAATCCACATTTATTTATACATAAATCAGTTCCATCCCATTCTCACTTTAAAGTGCTTTTGGGTGGGGTTTTTCCCCCCAGCCAAGAACTATATTGCAAAATTCAGGGAAAGTGTGAAATCTGAAGGATAGTTATGTTTGGATCTGTGTATTCGTCCAGGAGGTGGCGAATCAGGTTGCTTTGCTTAAAACCATGGTTTTTGAATTTATTGTAAAAAAATGATCCCTCCCCCAGGCCCCTAGAGTGGTTTAACCATCAATCTAACTTCCAGGGGGACCTTGGAAATTTTAGCATTTAGAGGGGAATGGGGTGTCTGAAAAACTCCATACTTTTCTTTCTTTATTATTTTTTTGTTACATTTATATATCACCCTTACTTCCAAGTATGTGTATGTTATGCCACACTGGCTCTTAACAGATTAGAATTCCCAAGATCCCTTGGGAGAAACCATGACTGTTTAAAGTGGTATGGTGCTGTGCAGCAACCCCCTGCCCACCTATGACCCCTATAAATGTATTTTTAACCACCACCAAGGGACTAGGGCACCATGAACTGGCAGGATGAGGGGTATAGCCAGGACTGGGACACACTAGGGCTAGAGACACTAGGGCTTGAGACCGAGTGCCCAAACTGCAACCCAAAACCCACTTATTTATCGCAAAGTGCCAACACGGCAATTTAACCTGAATACTGAGGTTTCAGTTTAGAAAAAACAACCCGTACATTAACATCTTTTGTCTTAAAAGAAAAACACAATAACAGAGCTTTCAATGATACAAACAATTTTTTTTTTGAAGGGTAAAAGTTTGCATTTGGCATGCTTTTGAACAATTAGTGTGATTTTTGCTGTTGTACGCATGCTGATAATTTGTCTAACCTTGCTGAACTCAAGGCGGCTTACTCCCGAGTAGGAACAACAAACTAGCGGGAGGCCCTGGCGCATCAAAAGTTGAGGCCTGGACAGAGCGGCAGTTTCCCAGCACAAGCCCTCTTCTCCTTCTCCCCCCAGTGCGGCCTCGAGGGTAAAAATGGTGCCCTAGCAGTGCTGGGACCATGCTGGAAGCTGCCAGGAGCCTCCTGCAGTGCTGGAGTACCAGTTTCACCACCTAGCTATGGCCCTGCTGGGGCAACGGTGCGCGTGCCCACAGAGAGGGCTCTGAGTGCCCCCTCTGGTAAGTGTGCCATAGGTTCGCCACCACTGTCCTGGCCTGATCCTTTTATTCTCCCTCCCAAAGTGCTGACTCCACCCCTCTCTGACTTGCTGTCATTTTAGCCAATCAGAGAGAGGCTCCAGCCCACTGGTGGAATTCTGAGGCACTGCATCACCAGACTCCAGTATCACATGCCACTGTAAACATATGGTATAGATGGGACAGGATGGCACTGTGGTCTAAACCACTAAGCGTCTTAGGCTTGCCAATTAGAAGATCGGCAGTTTGAATCTGAGCAATGGGGTAAGCTTCTGCCAACCTAGCAGTTTGAAAGCATGCCAGTGTAAGTAGATAAATTGATACTGCTGCAATGGGAAGGTAAATGGCATTTCCATGATGTGGCGTTTGCCCATTCTTTTGGAAATGTCTGTACAGGGAGAGAGAAAGGGTTAATAAGTAGACCAATAGAAAAGCCCAGAGGTGGAGCCTACCTGTTTTTCAAAGGCTTAGCCAGAGGTTTAGACAGTTGGGAAAAAGCAGTTGGAAGACAGATGGAAATAGAGAGACAGTTAGTGCAGTTGGTTCTTGTGTGAGGGGAGGTAGAAGAGTGGGAGTGAGTTAGAGACAGGATAAAATAAGACTAAGAGGGTAAAGGGTAACAGTGTTTCGAATGCATTTAAAGTTTATTTGTGTTTGCAATAAACTACAATCTTCGTTGTTAACTTGAGAACCCGACTGAGACTAAGTGTTTTACTGGGGAGAACCTGGTTGGTGGCAGCGGATTAGTGGTGTACGGGTCAATAGTCCGTGAAATGACCGGGGGCTCCGTACAAAAGCACACATGCACTCCAGTTTCCATCATGGTGTCCTGTTCTGCCAGAAGCAGTTTAGTCATGCTGGTCCCATGACCCGTAAAGCTGTCTGTGGACAAACGCCGGCTCCCTTGGCCTGAAAGCGAGATGAGCGCCGCAACACCATAGTCACCTTTGACTGGACTTAGCCATCCAGGGGTCCTTTACCTTTTTACCTTTTGTGGTATAGATGAGGCCTTAGTCCTCAAGCACCCCTAAAACATTAAGCCCCATTGAACAAAGTGGGACTTATTTTTGAGTAGACATGAATAGGATTGCACTGAAAGGCTGGAATGCTAAACACAGTGGAGTGTAAACCCTATTGGATATAGTGATGTAGCACCTTGCTTGTGGTTAACGCTTAGCTGGAATGAAATATTCAACGCAGCAATAGAGAAATTAAAATAATAATTTATTTGTCAGACAAATAAATGAGAGACACAGTGGTATATGGATACCAAAGCTCTGCCTACTCCAGCCCTGATGGCCAGCACTTATATTTCCTCAGCCCAGCCCCTTGCTTCTCCTTTGGCTGCCTCTGTCCAATCAGCCTGGTTGAAATTCCTATTGGTTGTTTGCTAGAACCAATCATAAAAGATACACCCATTTCCTATTTCCTTTTATGGGAGACAAAAAGCTTTATTTCCTTGTATCCATAAATGGCAGACAAGTAGCCATATATCTTACATTTACCTCGACCAGGCACCTCAATTACCAGATAACCTTTGGCCCCTGTTGCCCTATTCACCGCAAACCAGATGGCTAAAGCAGATGGTGCATGGTTTCTAATTTTTTTTTTATCTTAAAGAGATCTTGAGTTCACCTTCTCACCCACCATAATAGGAATCTAACATAAGAATCTAACATTTCTTACTTTCTAAATCCTTTGCATAATTACATTTAAGCCAATATATTTCATACATAACATAGATAGATTTTTAGAAGGAAAGGCCTTTTCAAATTAGAAGGAACTTAGTAAAAGCTAAGTTCTCTTAGTTCTATAAAGAAACCTTTTCCCTAACCAGCAGCTGTTTCTTCCATTTAACCTTTAACCTTATGGCTCGAGTCTTCTGTTAAACAATAAATTTCACTATTTACCAGTTCTTAATTGTGTTTTTACAGCTTGATTGTATTCTGGTCAGTGTGACCTTTTGCTCTCTGGCTCTAATTTCCTTTTACAACCTTGAAATACTTTTTACAACCCTGAAATACTGCTATTTATAGCAGTGGGGCCCTTGAACAGCTGCCAGAGTATTCAAGCTGGTCTTCTCCCTGGCATGAGAGAAAAATATATTTACAAATATAATTTTTTAAGCTCAAAGCAGATTTTGATCAGATGCCTCAGTGAGGCTGCTGAGTAAATAAGCATAATATTGTAAGAGTTATATCCAGCCGTGAAGAAGCTGTTGGTGGCTAGTAGCTATGCTGGCTATCTTCTACCTGCACTGTCTGAGGCAATATGACTCTGGATACCACTTGGGTAGGGTTCTGTTGCATTAAGGACCTGCTTTGGGGCTTCTCATAGGTCTCACCGCTGTGAGAAGAGGATGTTAGACTGCATGGGCCATTGTTTTGCCCAAGCAAGCTCTTCTTATGATCAGTCCACCCTGATGAATGTTCTCTGCAATGCACTTCCATTGAAACACTGGGTACAGGCTGCTATTAGCTGTTCTGTTCAATGTCAGGTGCAGTTCTTTAATACTGCTTGATACTCCATTGAGTAATATTAACAGCGTACAACTGTGAGGTTTTCAGAGTCTGCCAATATACTTCTCTTGTGCTGCAACCAGCTGTTGAGGCAGGATTTGAACAATTTAGATTTTTCCTTGTTGTTCACAGACTAAGGAAGTGCATAAACCATTTTAGCAGGAGTTCTGCTAACAAGCAACAGCTGCCAAGGTAATGAGTGTGTTTAAATAACCAGATTGATGTAGGAGGGGCTCTGTCGACGGAGAAAGGAAATGGGGAGGGGGAAGGTAAAAAACAACAATGCCATGGAGCTTGACAGAGTTGCCGGTATGTGGTATAATGCATAGGAAAGACCACCTTATCAGCATGAGGGCTAATTTAAGAAATGTTCAGTTTGGTGGAAAACAACTTGCTTCGTTTGTCTGTTTTTGGTGCGTGCTTTTAATTGAAATGGATATAATTTGGGGTTGTACCAGGAGTTATTGTGTGAAAGAACTGGATACTTATGAAAGGTATAAGGGGCTGAAAAGCTAAGGCTCTGCCTACCTAGGTTGAAGTTAAGAGTGGGGGAAATCTGCCAATTGCAGTTACTTGTTTTTCCAGGGTGCAGAGTGCGGCAGCTGCCTCAGCCAGCAGCTACTGAAATATGGACAGAGCTGGGGGGTCCCACGTGGCTGCCCTGTACCCCCTGTGCTGCTCTGCTGCCCTCACATATAGTAGAAGATCCCTATTTGCCTCTTTCCAATCGGAGAAATGTTGGACGGCATTGTGGTAATCACACAGGGTCTCCAGATGTTTCACTGTCTATTGACCCCTGTGCCACCACTTTATTTCTCGCTGCCACCACCTAGGCCCTACCTGGTACAATACTGAGTCCAGTCAGGGTTAAATTGGAACATAAACTTTTGTTTATTTATTGCAGTTTAACAAGTGTGTGGTTTCATAAACGGTATCCGTCAATTACATTCATGGGGTGCCTATCCAGACCTATAACTTCCGCTACCTGCTCTCACGCACTAAACCACCTCTCAAATATTTACTTGTCTTCCTAGCCCCTAACTGTTCCTGACTCAGCTTATTGCGCTACACTAACTCAACCTCCCCACAGACTCGATCCCAATTCACTCCCACTCCAACCAACCACCCAACTCCCAACAAACTCCTCCCTTTGCTCCTCCCAGAGCTGGTTTTATAGTCCCTCTGACTCCACCCCCCTGGGTTCTGATTGGGTAACCTGTTTAACTATTTCATCTCCAGCACTCTCATATGTTAAGGTCACAGGCATGGAGTTATGTGACCCCTGAACCAAGGAGATAAGTAACTATACAGCCTTTAAAAGATTTTCTTTTGGTAATTATAGGGACAGAACTACCCAAACTGTACAGAAATTTATTCATGTGTGCCACTGCAGCAGCAGGAATGTTACTGGCCCCAAAATGGAAAGAAGCAGAAGAATTTCCAGCAGAAGATGAATGGCTACAAAAACTTGTGGAATATGCAGAAATGGCAAAACTTACCGGAAAAATAAGAAACAAAGAGAACAAACTTCTGATAAAAGAATGGAAATGGTTCATTGAATATTTGCAAATAAGCTGTAAACAGATAAGACAATTGGCAGGATTATTGTAATGACCTGCGGTTTTATAAAAGTATATATTTAAAGTAGATGAATAAATGAGCAAATTAAGTTAATTTGGATATGCAGAAAATATTACAATAAATTTAAGGAACCATAGAAACAGGGGGAAGGAAGTCAAGTTTTGAAATGCTAAAGTGATTGTAAAATTATTGAAATGTATAAAATTGAAAAATATAAATAAAAAATAAAATAAATAAAAATAAAAGATTTCTGAAGGCAGCTCAGCCCTGTATAGGGAAGTTTTTTTAATGTTTAATGTTTCATTATGTTTGTATAGATGTTGGAAGCTGCCCAGAGTGGCTGGGACAACCCACTTAAATGGGCAGGGTATAAATACCATTATTATTACTGAATAGGGCATCAGAGAAATGTTGGAGGTTATGGAAAAGCTTCCCCCTGCTTTAAGTGGGGGTTATAGCTAACAATTGGGACTAGTGGGGGATAGCGCCCCAATGCTGCCACAGTGAGCTTTTATAGAGAAAAGAAAGGAGAAAGTGTTTTGTTGTTGTTCCTATTTTATTAGATTTATTACCTGCCCTTCATCAGCAAGTCCCAGGATGGGTTGCAACAATTTAAAATTCACACTTAAAAGCAGCTCAAACAAATGCATAAAATGCAGTCTAATTTTATTTTACATTTTGAAAATGAGTGACTATTTCTTGTCCCTTCTCCCAGTCCCTTTGCCATTACTGGCTACAACATGGGGAGGTATGGGCTGGTTCATTGCTTATGGGTTGAGAGCATCGCCTGTAGGTCTCCTACACGTCTCTGAAAGTGAAAGAGGGAGAGAATTGTTTCAAGAAAACCTGAAATTTTGAAACGTCCCTAACACAGTATTTGAAACTCCCATTGTTTTAGGCGTATTTTGTGACGGAATTTCATTAGCGCGAGCCATTTCTGAGCTCTGGGCACAGAACTGCGCCTAAGATTTCAGATTAAAACTGCAGAGTGGAAGGAAAGAAGGACCTTTTTCTGCTTCCCCACTTCCAGCTACTCTCTGAAGACTGGAGAACAGACCCTCTTAAGAATATTAGGGGGGTGGGCAGGGGAAGGGCTATACCACATGAAAAATGAACATGAATTTTGGCTGCAGTTCATTCATTTTCAGCTTTGTATTCTTGTTATAGAGAAGTGCACCTAGACATTCTGTTGTTGTGCCTGTAACCTAGGTTTAAGGTGCCATTTAGCTCCTAGCTTTCATATCTCAGTTTCTAGCACTGTCCTAATGGGAGTAGATCCTTGCTCTGAGTCCCTGTGACTCAGGTCGTACAGTCATACCTCGGGATAAATACACTTCAGGATAAGTATTTTCGGGTTGCGCTCCACGGCGACCCGGAAGTAATGCGCTCTGTTACTTCCGGGTTTTGCCACTTGTGCATTCGCACAAGGTCAAAATGATGTCAAGCGCATGCGCGGAAGCAGCAACGTGACCCGTACATGCGCAGACCTGCAGTCGTGTCTTACGTTCTGTTCAGATGCGAACGGGGCTCCGGAACAGATCCCGTTTGCATCCCGAGGTACCACTGTATTCCAAAGATGGGAAGCCTGAGGCCCTCCAAGATGTTGGTGCACTACATCTCCCATCAGCCCCAACCAGCAGATCAAATGCTCAGGAATGGTGGGAGTTGTATTCTAACAACTTTTGGAGGCCTGCAAGTTCTCAATACCTCCCTGATTCCAATCTGATTTCAAATGCATGATGACTTGGGAAGGGAGCTGAAGATGATTGTGAAGAGAAACTCCGATATGGGATAGATTACTTTTCTTCTGCTAAGGCTACTGCTACATAACTAGATTTTTTTTTATATAAAAAAGGAGGGAGAGTTTCAGAATAATGTCTCTGTAAACTGTAATTTAGATAGTTGCAAGCTGTGTCCTGCAATCAGCAAAATTATAGGCACACAATTACTGTTTTCTTTATTAAAGTTTCAATTTTAATGTACTGTGGAAAAACTAATCATTTCCTGTGAATAGCATCACCCACTTTACCCAAAAACTATTTGTGTTGAGTCAAAATTAAAATGTGCGCTGTTCTTCAGGCTTCTGGTTTGACAGTGTTGAGGGGGGTGGGGGAAAGGGCTGATTTGTTTTATTTTTATCCAGCCTTTCCTCCAAGAGGTTGAGAGCACCATGTGTAGTCCCCTCCCTCATTTTATTCTCGCAGCAACTCTGTGAGGTAGGTTTGGCTGAAAGAGCATGATTGCTGAATAGAAAAGTGAACCTTGGTCTCCAGAGTAATAGTATATCCACTACAACACACCGACTCTCAGAATGGCAGGCTCTTTTAAGGGGATCAGTATTTTGGGATCTCAGGGAGATGTAGAAGAAATGGAACAAATCAGCCAGTGTAATATTGTCCCCTGACTTTACTTGGCCTGGCACAGGTCATTTTCTTCCACTTCTTCTTTCCATTGCTTTGGGTTCTACCCTCTGGAGCAACAGAAAACAAGCTTGCTCCATCTCTCATGTGATAGCCCTTCAAATATTTGAGGAGGCAGCCATCTTCAAATATTGGAATCTAAAAGCATAAGAGCCTGTAGGATCAGGCTAGTGGTCCATCTAGTTCAGTCCAGTGGTACCTCAGGTTAAGAACTTAATTTGTTCCGGAGGTCCGTTCTTAACCTGAAACTGTTCTTAACCTGAGGTACCACTTTAGCTAATGGGGCCTCCCACTGCCACTGCGCCACTGCCGCACAATTTCTGTTCTCATACTGAAGCAAAGTTCTTAACCCGAGGTACTATTCCTGGGTTAGCAGAGTCTGTAACCTGAAGCGTCTGCAACCTGAGGTACTACTGTATTCTGTTCTCCCAGGATTCGAGCACAAAAGCACTCTGGTTTCTAGTAGAGGCAGTTTTAAGGTGTCACGGTCAATAAGGTTGCACTGGGTGCCACACTGCGGGGTCCCCCAAAACAATGCTGTAGAATGAAGTGTGTGAGGTGAATTTTAGCCTCACACAGGGCACCACTATTTGAAAGCCCAAAGTCCACTGCTGTTTCCAGCGACTGGTATTCAGAAGCATTACTGCTTCTGACTGGAGGCAGAAGGCTAATAGGCACTGCTAGCCCTTTCCTCCATGAATTTGTCTACTCTTCTTTTGTGACCAGAATGTGGTCTAAACCTCCCTGTAAATCCATATCAGCGAAAAGAAAAGAACTCACTCTGAAACTCACTTACAGATGGTACCTAACACCACGGAAACTGGAGCTAATACGTCCAGGAACCTCACCCAAATACTGGAGAGGATGCACCTCCACAGGCACATACCTCCACATGTGGTGGGAATGTCCCCAAATCCAACAATTCTGGACAGCAATCATACAAGAAATATGCAAAATAACTAAGCAAGTATTAGAAGTCACCCCAGAACTGGCCCTACTAAACATCTTCCAAGATAATAATGCCCACTCACATCATAAAGAGCTCACAACCCACCTGCTCTCAGCAGCCAGAAGCATCATAGCCAGACACTGGAGAGACCTGTCAGGAGAAAGCATGGACCAATGGTATCAAATAGTATGAGAAATAGCCTTATTAGGAAAACTAACCAATAAAGTGAAACTGACACGGGGACAAAGAGAAGACGACGTCTTCACCCTGGTATGGTTCCCCTTTATCACATACACAGCCCAACAGGATAACAAGAATCCGCCGACAGCATACGAATCAATATGGCTAACTTGATCCAAAAACACACATGCACCCTCTCTCACACAAAAACAAACCTCACTACGGCCAATCAAACACAACCAACCACACACTAGGCTACCCCCCAACCTCTTTCACTACCAAGGAAATACAACAAGCAAATAGAGAACCCACACAAGTGATGCTGACACAAACCCCCACACATACACTAAGTAGAAGTATTGCCATCCCACCCTACCCCACCCCACCCCACTCACCATTCCCCCTCCCCCTCTTTACCTCTCTTTTCTTCCTAACCTAACACTGTATGCAACGCTAATGTCTCACGACAAATCAAACTGATCTGTAGAAAATGCAACTTGAACAAAGAGACAATGCACGTATTTATGTAAACTAAGGAACCTTTAATAATAATTATTTTTTAAATCCATCTAGATTGGTGGCCCTCACTGCCTTCTGCGAGAGCGAGTTCTGCAGTTTAACTATGCCCTGCTTGGCAAAGCACTTCCTTTTATCTGGCCTGAATCTTTCAAAGTTCACCTTCATTGGATGAAATGCAACTCCCTTGCTGGGTTTGGTGGCTATTAAAAACAACAGCTTCCTTGTTCATCTACTGCAACACCTCCTTCCAAAAAAACGGATTCATGTCTTAATGCATTTCATTTTCCAAGTGGATAGAGGGGCTTTCCACTTACTTGTTTGCTTTAAAGAGAATCAACACAGTTGACAACATAATTGGTGGTAATTGTAGTACTGTGTCAGTTTTAATAAACTGCCCAACTGGAAAAAAAAAATGTTTTACAGATACAGTCATTTCCTGCATGTCGTCAGTGAAGCCTTCTATATCCTTCAATACCAGCCTCTTAAGACCACTGCTTAAAAAAAGAAAACCCTACTGTGCTGCATATATGTATGTGTGTGTTCCCCGCCCCCACCTTGTTAATAATAGAGCTGTCATATCTAATAAAATATGAAACAACCATCCAGGGAAATAACACAAGTGATAGATAGCACAGGGCTGATTTGCTGGGCCGAGCGAGCACAGAAGCTCAGTGGCTCAGAATGGGATCATAGAATCATAGAATTGTAAAGTTGGAAGGGATCACAAAGGCCATCTAGTCCAACCCCCTGCAATGCAAGAATCTCAGCAAAAGCATCCATGGCAGATGGCCATCCAACCTCTGCTTAAAAACCTCCAAGGAAGGAGAGACCACATTCTCCCGAATGAACAGCGGAAGAAGGTCCTTCCTGATTGGAATCTCCTTTCTTGTAACTTCAAGCCATTGGTTCAAGTCCTACCCTCCAGAGCAGGAGAAAACAAGCTTGTTCTATCCTCCATGTGACAGCCCTTGAGATATTTGAAGATGGCTATTGTATCTCCTTTCAGTCTCTTTTCCAGGGTCAACATACCCAGCTCCTTCAACCATTCCTCATAAGGCTTGGCTTCTAGACCCTTGATTATCTTAGCTGCCCTCCTCTGCACTTTTTCTAGCTTATCATTTAACTTTGGGAAGGTTTAGGGGCATGGTACACAGGCAGTGATGATGCCCGACTCCTTGGATATCTGTTCAACAGCCATCAATCAAATGGAGATTAAGTTGTGCTCCAGCAGAAGTTGCCTTTGATTATTCAGTCAATGGGCTTTCCTTACACCTAAGGCCTGATAGATCAGTAGCAGCAGCAGTTGTGCATATGTGTGTCACACAGGGCTAGCCAATGTGGTGCCTTTCAGATGTTGCTGGACTACAACTCCCACTAGCTACAGCCAGCAGGGACAATGATCAGGGGTGATGGGAGTTGTAGTCCAACAACATCTGAAGGGTACCACATTGGCTGACTTTGGTGCAAAGGCAGCACTATGTTCTGACTCTCCTGTGTGAGTGTCTGAGGGCCCTGCTCTTGCCACTTACCATCTGGCTTGGGGCGGGGCCTGAAGCCTCAAAAGGACTGCTCTGCTGCCCAGGAGGACTCCCCTGTGCGAGTGCCTGAGGGCCCTGCTCCTTCCTGCCACCTACTATCTAGCCCGGGGGAGGGGGGCTCACAAGGATGGTTGTTGCCACTGATGCTGCTACTGCCCAGGAGGACCCGGTGGGGTGCAGAGTTCTTTTTAACATGTTTTAAAATTTTTCTTTCCCTTTAGATTTTTATATATGGGGGTGGGTTGGATGTTTGGGTGGGCTTGGAAATTTGTTAGATTTTGATGAATTTGTAATTTTTGCAGTTTTTATTTGTATTGTTTTATTGTTTTCTGGGTTGTTTTGGTTTTTTGTTTTTATTGTTTTAAGGTTTTATTGTTTTAGGCTGCGAAAGAATAACATTAATTGCCATCAATGGAGGCTACTATGAGGCTTGGGATTGCTACCGTGGAGGGGCGAGGGAGGTATGGCAGTGGTGGCAGATGTTATAGGCGAAGGGGATCGAGATATGGATATGCTCGTACCCCTTCCAATCTGCGCCTCATCCCGATCTGGTGGAACACTCTGTCACAAGAGACTAGGGCCCTGCGGGACTTGACATCTTTCTGCAGGGCCTGCAAGACAGAGCTGTTCCACCAGGCCTTTGGCCAGGGCACAGCCTGACTCCCTCCCTCGGCAATCTTCGCGGAGCTCTGGCCCAATGGTTGCCAGTGGCTTGATTTGAATTAATTTCATAATGAATGATTTTAGAGTGTTGTTTGTGCTGTACTTTTCTACTCTTTTATTGTTGTTAGCTGCCCTGAACCCGGCTTCGGCTGGGGAGGGCGGGATTATTAATATTATTATTATTATTATTATTATTATTATTATTATTATTAATATTATTATTAATAATAATAAATAATAATAAATTTTATTTATATTAAGTTTTGGACAACTGAGTAGCAATGGAAGGTGGATTCCGATGGGTCCTTTTCACTTGGCCGACGCAATGAGCATTGCCACAGCATTGCCTCAAAACGCAAACTTTCTTTTTGCCAGGACAGGATCTAGCTCTGAAAGCAGCTGTACATGGCTGAACGTAGGGAGATGCCTTATACTGAGTCAGACTACAAATTGATTTAGCTCAGTACCCTCCACTCTGAGTTGCAGATGCAAGTTTTTCCAAGCCCTACCCTTCGATGCCAGGGACTGATCCTGGAACCTTCTGCATGCAAAGCATATGCTCCTAGCACCAAACTGCAACCTTCCTGTGGTCCACTGGAGTTCTCTAAGGACAGTGCCAATTGGCTAGTGCCTGAGACGCCATGAAGCCTCACACATCCACAGACCGGTTTTGCAACTTCTGAATAGTGTGTGTGTTTAGCAGTGGTTGCCAAACTCGGCCCTCCAGCTGTTTTGGGATTGCATTTCCCATCATCCTTGACCACTGGTCCTGTTAGCTAGGGATGATGGGAGTTGTAGTCCCAAAAATAGCTGGAGGGCCAAGTTTGGCCACCACTGGTTTAAAGCTAGTGAATGAATGATTAAATGAAGAAATATCAGGATAAGCCGATATATCCCAGAAACTCCCAATAGTGAGCCATTTCTGATCACAGGATGGAGATGCAGTGGATGAGAACAGGGAGAAAAGGCCTGCTTGGTAGTGGCACCCAGACTGTGGAATGATTTCCAAGAGAGGCTAGCTTGGCACCTAGCATGATGCTATTTGGGTGTCAGTAAAATACACGCGGGTGGCGCTGTGGGTTAAACCACAGAGCCTAGGACTTACTGATCAGAAGTCAGCGGTTCGAATCCCCGCAATGGGGTGAGCTCCTGTTGCTTGGTCCCTGCCCCTGCCAACCTAGCAGTTCGAAAGCACGTCAAAGTGCAAATAGATAAATAGGTACCGCTCCGGCGGGAAGGTAAACGGTGTTTCTGTGCGCTGCTCTGGTTTGCCAGAAGCGACTTGGTCATGCTGGCCACATGACCCAGAAGCTGTACGCCGGCTCCCTCGGCCAATAAAGTGAATGAGATGAGCGCCGCAACCCCAGAGTCAGCCACGACTGGACCTCATGGTCAGGGGCCCCTTTACTTAAAATACCTTATTTATTTCCCCCCTTTTTGATTTAAAAAAATGCTTTTACGCTGCTTTCTGCATTTTTCGTGTGCATTTTATTTCTGCCTATTGCTTTCATGATGCTTTCTAATACTGTGGTGTTTTGCTGTTTTCCTTATCTTGTTTTATTGCAATTTTAACTTTCTGTAAGCAACCCTGGGCACCAGTTAAAAGGAGAGGCATAAATCCCTAAGTAAATCAAGAGCCAAGAATTCGCTTTTTTTCTTTCTTCTGTGCTGCTGCTTGTGGTTCATGTTTATGGTCAGTGGCAGCAGGGGAAAGGCTGTAGCTCAGTTGTATAGCATCAGCCCTGTATGCGGGAGATCGCGAGTTCAATCCCCGGCATCTCCAGGTAAGCCTGGGGAAAGAATTCTGTCTGAAATTCTGGAGATCTGCTGCTAATCAGTATAGATGGCTCAATTGTCTGACCTCTATAAGGCAGCTTTCTATGTTCCTTGAAAGGAAAAGGAGGACTCGGTGTTGATAAGGACAGAAATACCATCAGAGCCTCTGTTGCAATGGAGGACCGTCTCTACAGTATTTGTGCCATAATTGTCCATCCTATTTCTTCTTCCTTTCCAGCTCCTAGCTTTATAATTAGACTCTTGAGGAAGGATCATTACTCAGTGGCACGAGGTGTTTCTGAATGACTTCCTTTTGACTAGAGATGACAGGGACTGAACAGGGGAGGTGGATCTTCTGCATGCTATGCATGAACTCTGCCGCTGAGCTTTGGTCCTGCTCAACCAGAATCAGAACATGCTTCTGAACCTACTGCCAGTCAGTTTAACTGAGTGACTTTGAATTTCAGCATGATAAAATAAGGCCCTTAATGATAAAATTAAGGTCCGTATAGTAAAAGCTATGGTTTTCCCAGTAGTGATGTATGGAAGTGAAACCTGGACCATAAAGAAGGCTGGTCGCCGAAGAATTGATGCTTTTGAATTATGGTGCTGGAGGAGACTCCTGAAAGTCCCATGGACTGCAAGATCAAACCTATCCATTCAGAAGGAAATCAGCCCTGAGTGCTCACTGGAAGGACAGATCCTGAAGCTGAGGCTCCAGTACTTTGGCCACCTCATGAGAAGAAAAGACTCCCTGGAAAAGACCCTGATGTTGGGAAAGATGGAGGGCACAAGGAGAAGGGGACGACAGAGGACGAGATGGTTGGACAGTGTTCTCAAAGCCACAAACATGAGTCTGACCAAACTGCGGGAGGGAGTGGAAGACAGGAGTGCCTGGCGTGCTCTGGTCCAGGGGGTCACGAAGAGTCGGACACGACTAAACAACAACAACAAAATAAGGCAGTCCCTCCTCACCCGAAGGTTAACAATTCAACAAACTACCATGTCCTCACAAGGGATGAAAGAACAATTTTGACTACCCAAGCTTCCCATTCCAATCTTAAATCCGGTTCTTCACATTACTGGAGCAGTTCGCATCATGAAAAAAAATATCCTGCATTTTAGTGTGATTTTCTTCCAATAAACACATTTCTTTTCCTTTTGACTAATGTGCATATTTCTGAAAGCAATTTCTCCTAATGCAGCCATTCTGAAACTTGGGTCCCCAGATGTTTTTGGACCAGAACTCCCATTATCCCTGACCACTGGTCCTGCTAGCTAGGGATGATGGGAGTTGTAGTCCATCTGGGGACCCAAGGTTGAGAATGGCTGTCCAAATGTGATGCATTTTTGTTTTTTATTTCCACTAATGCCTTCATTTTTATGCACACTTATTACCTAATATGCAGATGTATGTGAACATTGTCTGGTTGGAGAACCCAAGATTCAGATAAGTGGGAAATTCAAAGGATTGGCTGTGTTTCAGCTTGGGTTGCCATATTTAAAAAAACCAGGACACCCCGAAAGTTGTTGAGTTTTTTAATTGAATAAATATCAGGACAAAGCGCCACATTTCAGAAATTCCTCCCGGACGTCACTTCCGCCTTTTAAATTCCAGTAATCTCCAGGAAAATTCAGACATATGGCAGTCCTAGTTCCAGTTCTTGTATCGTTTTGGAAATGGAGAATTTGATAGATCTCCCTCATCCCTGTTCCTCACTTCCTTTGCAATCCTAACAAAACTTACTCAGAAGTATTAAAGATAAAGGACCCCTGGACAGTGAAGTCTAGTCAAAGGCGACTATGAGGTTGCAGTGCTCATCTCACTTTCAGGCAAGGGAGCCGGCGTTTGTCCACAGACAGCTCTCCGGGTCATGTGGCCAGCAGGACTAAACCGCTTCAAAACCCTAACCGTGATGGAAGCCAGAGCACACAGAAATGCCATTTACCTTCCCACCGCAGTGGTATACCTATTTATCTACTTGCACTGGTGTGCTTTTGAATTGCTAGGTTGGCAGAAGCTGGGACAGAGAAATGGGAGCTCACTCCACCGCGTGGATTTGAACTGCCGACCTTCCAATCAGCAAGCCGAAGAGGCTCAGTGGTTTAGACCACAGTGCCACCCACTCCCATACACAGAAGTAAGCCTCATTAACTAATTCCTAGGAAAGTGAGTTCATCTTGCAGAGCTCTTGTTAGGTTAAACCATTTGCAAACTGGCATTGCTTCAGTACAGAACCCCTCACACAGCTTCTACTCCGCCTGGTTCTGGGTTTACTTCAGAAATTCTTCATCTTGTGCTGGAAAGATATGAACTGCTGCATTGCAGGCTGGGCTGTCTGAGGCTCCTGGTAAGTGATGTCAGACCTTGTGGCTTCAGAGCTTCCACCTCCAAACCCACCAGACATGGCATGCCCGTGAGTGTGCCCCACAGTGGAGCCCACAGCCATGTAGTAATGGCCATCTGCCCAGGGGCAGGAGAAACCACTGCAGAGACAGGGGCAGGAATGGGGGCCTGAGCAGCTGGCAGTGGAGCAGACCTCATATGAGGTGCACCACTGGCAGGGGGCACCATCTGAGATGTCCTGCTCCTGCTTCCCCTCAGCATGGAAGGTGAGTTAGGATTGCAGCTGTAGGTTACCTCGAAATGATTATATTATTGTGCAACCAATTGTCAGGCTTTGGGGAATCTGCTTCCTCCCTCCGTGGCAGTAGATAAGAAGATCAAAGAAATGAACATTTTACCAGTTAGAAACTTTAAAAATCCCAGCGAGAGAACAAAGAACACTTCTCCTAGAAATGGCGATGCTCCCAATTAAGGATTACACCCCCTCCATCCCTATTAATCTACATCACTCCTATGTCTTGTAATCTGAGCTTGTACCCTCTGCGCCTGTTGGGACTTTGCCTACATGCAGCTTCCCACAGAAGCAATTAAGGAGTTGGCCAAAGGCCAGGAAGACTGAGCAGAGGGAGTTATTCTGCCTAGAGATATGGGACCTTGGATACAATTCTGCTATTGGACAAGGTCACCCATATAGGCACGATGACTCATGACTTTCCTGTTTGTGTGTTGGTTGGTTGGTCAGTGGTTGTTTGAGAGTTAGTTGGAGTTTGTTCAAACAGAGTTGCGATCTGAGTCTGTATCCTATACAGTGGTACCTCAGGTTACATACGCTTCAGGTTACATACGCTTCAGGTTACAGACTCCGCTAACCCAGAAATAGTACCTCGGATTAAGAACTTTGCTTCAGGATGAGAACAGAAATCGCGTGGTGGCATTGCAGCAGCAGCAGGAGGCCCCATTAGCTAAAGTGGTGCTTCAGGTTAAGAACAGTTTCAGCTTAAGAACGGACCTCCAGAACGAATTAAGTACTTAACCCGGGGTACCACTGTAGCAGCGTCTTGTTCCTGCTTCATCCTGCCAGCTTGCAACCGACTGCTTCTGGACAGTCTGCATATGCTCTGCAATATTCAACAGCGCGTTCTGTTCTGAGACTTTCTGAGCTCTTCGTGACTTTGGGGAGATTGGAGGAATGCTGTCCAATGACTGCGAATCTGTTAACCCTCTCTCTCCCAGTGTTTCTTCTCCTAGCTGTTCCCCATCCAGTATTTCCCAGCTTCTGCCTTCTGAACTAGGCCCCTCTGCAAAGCACTGTTCCAAATCTATAGTGTCCTCCTGCTCCTGGGAAGATTCAGGAGCAGGAGCAGCGGGGTGGGGTGGCCCCCACCATTCCTCCTCGGTGCAGCCCTCCTCAGCAGGGTCCCTGACACCAATACAATAAAGAGTCTATCCTGGGAAGAGCTTTAAAATACATATTTTGTACCAAATTCTGCACCAACAAAACAGAAGTAATCCTTTATAAATAATGCCAGATTGCCCCTGCAAGTGCATCAGTCTATTGAACAAATAAGTTCCACTTGCATTAACTTTCACCTAATAGCTGATCTATCCTCTCCACCCAAAAGTCTGGTTGGCCAGTAGATTATGACTTTTTTACTATTGACAATCTAGCAAAACTTGCCAGCTAAGAGTGCATATGGTACAAGATCACAGGTTCCAAGTGCAGTTTTATCACAAATGCTAATGATCCAATTATCCAGCATATGAAAACGCCAAGATCCCATAAGCATAAAGTAAAAGGGTCCTATTGATTTGCAACTTTCCCCAAGATAATGGTCGACAGCATTTATTTACCCGCTGCGCATGGAAGTGTGAGGGGGGGGGGAATTAACAGGTTAACAGCCTGTTGGGTGCAGTACGGTACACAATTATACAGAACATAATTGTTGCCATATATCATACAATATGCATTCAGTTCCTCTGGAGGGCATGTTTCTAAATCAGTGCTGGAATGATGCTTTCAAATCAAACTTTCAAGAGCATTGGATGAGCAGATGGCCTGTCAGATGTACGTTGGATGCGGAGCTGGGACAAATAATCTTTATTAAAACTGAGTACCTATAATAGACCGTCAGGCACTTTTTCATGTTGGGTTTTTCCTCTCTCATCCTGAAATGGTTTTTATGATCGTTAATGCACAGAACTTGCAGCGCGTGCCTGCTTGATAGCAGGAGCTAAGAGACTTGTGGGGACTGCTGGGGTTGGATGTGGCAGTGCTCAACTGTGTAGGACATGGCGGGCTCTGCTGCGGTTTGGATTTGATATCCCACTTTATCACTACCCAAAGGAGTCTCAAAGTGGCTAACACTCTCCTTTCCCTTCCTCCCCCACAACAAACACTCTGTGAGGTGAGTGGGGCTGAGAGACTTCAAAGAAGTGTGACTAGCCCAAGGTCACCCCAGCAGCTGCATGTGGAGGAGCGGAGATGCGAACCCGGTTCACCAGATTACGAGTCTATCGCTCTTAACCACTACACCACACTGGCTCAGAGGCATCCAAGCAGAGGATGGATGGCTAGCAGTCAGGGATGCTGTAGCTCAGGGATGGGGAACCTGTCACCCTGCAGATGCCTCTGGATTGTGACTCTTCTCATCCTTGATCATTGTCCATGTTGGCTGGTGCTGATGGCATAACCTCCAACATCTTGCATCCCAAAACTAGGATGCCCGTCTTTCTGTCCATGCTGCTATGTGAGATCATAAAGCCCAAGAAATGTGTTTTTTCAGAGCTGTGTTCACACAGTGCCCAAAAATGCATGGTTTGGGGCACCATGCGAGATTGCAGCCCTGAAAAAAAAGCTTTTTTTCGGGGGGGAAATGTGCTTTTATCTGGGTGAACTTAGCATGAAATCATGTGAGATCACAGCACCCAGAATGGCTGCCGTGCTCTCATGTGAGAAAGCAGGATGTCCTCTATTTTCCAGAATACTTGCGGGGCATGTGATGGGAGTTGGAGCCCAACAGCATCTAAAGGGCCACAGCTTCCCCTTCTTGGCTGTAGGCTTCTGCTCCTTCTCCTCAGTCACTAGATCCAACCAGTTGTCACCACCCAAAATAGTGGAGCAAACGTCAGTTCCCACTGGGACTGATGCCAGCATCCATTTGATTTAGATCTATCGCTTGGACATGTGTCTTGAGTATTCACCACCATTTTAATTTACCAGTAATGCCTCTGGGAGTGGCTGCTGGTGCAGCTGTTTCATTCAGTGCTTTTCTTATGCCATGTGCCATCCTGCAGCTATTCAGGAAGCACAATCAGATCCATTGTAAAATTGCAAATTATATTGAACATTCTCCAGTTATTTCTTTCCTTCTTAAGGTAACTGCTATGATCCACTTACCATCATAACTTTCTTCAGAAGCCAGTGCAAGGCACGTCATTCCAAAGGACAGGAATATAGTGTCCAACAGGAGGTAAAGAATGGGAGGCACCAGTGGCGATGCTTAGTGGAAGGGTAAGCATCACAGACTTGCAGGAGTTTCATCTGGTTTCATCAGTGAATTGCTGGGATATGGGACCTGTAGTTTGAAGTGCTGTTCAGAATTCCTAGTGCCGGGCCAAAGAATGGGGTTCCAGGAAGGCATGACAGGGTAAAAAGAATTCTATTCAATTTGCATTTTAAGGTGGACATACCAGATTATAATAAATAATAATAAATTTTTATTTATACCCCGCCCTTCCCTGTTCAGAAAACTGGGCTCAGGGCAGCTAACAACAAATTTAAAACAATTCATGCAACAAAAAACAGCATAAAATACAGTATAAAACGTAAATAACAATAAATTCAGAATTCAAAAATCAATTCAGAGGGAAAATCCATCCAATAAACTTTAGATGATCACCAGGGCTAGCTGGCTAAATTAGTCCTATTTGGGCCGGTGAGGAGACCAGGGGGGAATTAGCTGTGGGATCCCAGAGCGGGTAATCTTCATAAAAAGAGGAGGGGGAGGGAAGGAAGGGGAATAAAAGATCAGGCTAAGTTCAAACTGAAAGCCAGGTGGAATAGCTCTGTCTTACAGGCCCTGTGGAAGGAAGTTAAATCCTGAAGGGCCCTAGTCTCATGGGACAGAGCATTCCACCAGGTCAGAGCCATCACTGAGAAGGCCCTGGCCCTGGTGGAGGATAATCTGACTTCCTTAGGGCCTGGGACCTCTAAACTGTGATTATTCATGGACCCTAAGGTCCTCTGCGGGGCATACCAGGAAAGGCGGTCCCGTAAATACGAGGGCCCTAAGCTTTCTGAAACAATACGTGAACTAGGACACAGCCACCCCTGCAAATTCTCCAAATTTCACAGTGCAATTCTCCAGCCAAGTACAAAAATGCATATAATAGGATAAACTATATATTAGTGAAAATAACATTGAAATGCATTCTGCTGGGGGAAATCACTTTGCAAAAATCTGTATATTATGCAAAATTGCCTACAAGCTTCTGTGTACAGTGGTACCTTGGCTCTTGAACTTAATCCGTTCCGGGAGTTCATTCGTATCCCGAAATCATTCGAAAACCAAGGTGTGGCTTCTGATTGGCTGCAGGAGCTTCCTGCACCCAAGCGGAAGCTGCATCAGATGTTTGGCTTCTGAAAAACATTTTCAAACTTGAACACTTACTTCTGGGTTTGCGGTTTGCGGCATTCGGGAGCCGATTTGTTCAACAGCTAAGTCATTTGAGAACCAAGGTACCACTGTATTAGGATGGTTCCGTTGATGAAATTGCAGGAGAACTTAAATGTGTGTGTGGTGTGGGGAGCTAAGCAATGGGGAAATGTGGAGATGAGAGGGAAGAGTGAGAAAACTGACAGTTTCACCTTCTCTTCTCTTGAGCAATAGGGAGTAAGCTTCCCAAGTTTCTGGATAGCCTGGACTATGGCAGGAGATTCATCCTGTCTGGTAGGCGCCTGTATTGATCCTTCTCATCCTTCTCCTCCTCCTTCTTCGGCGGGAGAAAGGTGGTCTACCAATGCGGGGAAGCCTCTCCCCCTGAACTGTCGTGCCAACGCTGCCTTGAGTTCATATCTCAGTGGAGCCCTGGCTCCACCGAGTGGACTCTTTCAACCCCTGCTGCCCAAATTGAGCTGTCAAGAAAGCGAATGAGATAAAAAGGATTATGGATGGCGAAGGTTTTGTGCATTTTCACACATAGCACTGAAAGCACCCTGAAGTGCCTCTCCCACTGTTTTCATAAATGCTGTTAATGTAGTGTGGAAAGGGGAAGGGGGAGCCATTTTCAAATGAGAAGCGCATTCTAGCCAACATAGCTTTTTAACATTCATATTACAGAGTCAGGAAAAGCAAAGAAAGCACTCTGAGTTTTATGAGTGGAGCTTTATGAGCCCAAAGGGAATGGATTCTCACTGTGAAATGAGCTTTTACTGGGATCGATCGAGAAACCCCACATCTTGACTTACATAATCCACGTAACAAGCTTGTGTGAATAGACGGAGCCATAATCAGTGACTGTTTCCTCCAGTGCCATTATTTTAATTCTAGCAAGCAGGTGGAGGTTAAGTTCATTCTATTGTTCTATGATACGATTAATTCCTTTCAGATTATCTTTCTGGGGCAATGCATGGAACATGCAGTTCAACTCTACACATGACAATGAACGAGAAAGCTCTTTCTAACCCATCCATATTTTTCCAGAACAGATGTCAGGGCTTAGCTGAGGAGTCACCCATATTTGGGGGCACATTTTGGTTTTTATTTATTTCATTTCATTTCATAAAATTTATATACATATATATATATATATATATATATATATATATATATATATATTCATTAAAGTGGTTTTCAAATGGAATAAAACTCTAACATTATCAGTAAAAAAAGTTAAAAACAGCTATTTAAAATATGAAAATGCTCATTGAAATAAACAAAAAGCTAAAAATTGACAAAAGGCAAAGGGCAAGATTGAGAAGCCAGCAAAAAGCTGGGGCAAGGACAAAGTTTTTGAACAAGTTGGGAGGCAGGACTGAAGAAGAAGCAGCTCAACCCAGTGGCATAGCATGAGGGAGGGCACGGGGTGGTTGTCCCAGATGCAAAATTCTTAAGGGTGCAAAATTCCTACCCTTGGTGCTGCCTCAATACAGCTGTGTGGTGTAGTGGTTAAGAGCGGTGGACTCGTAATCTGGTGAACTGGGTTCGCTTCCCCGCTCCTCCACATGCAGCTGCTGGTTGACCTTGGGCTAGTCACACTTCTTTGAAGTCTCTCAGCCTCACTCACCTCACAGAGTGTTTGTTGCGGGGGAGGAGAGGGAAAGGAGTTTGTTAGCCACTTTGAGACTCCGTAAGGAGAGTGAAAGGCGGGATATCAAGTCCAAACTCTCCTCCTCCTCCTCTTCCTCCTCTTCTTCTCTTCTGTTGCTGGGCTCCACTGAAAATGGCTTCTCCATATGAATCAGAAAGTGACCTCTCCAGACCATGGAGCGCTCTTCTCTTATCTCTGTGGCTGTGATCTCCTGAGTGGTGTGAACACCATTATGCAATTGAATGTGCATGTGTACTCTGTCTGTTTCCCTCCCTCTGTGCAACCCTCATATAAACAAAGCTACAGCAAAGACGAACGATGCAGGTAAACATGCAGGGAGGCCCTGAGTGAGGAAAAATGGATGGGGGTCACACACATGCACTACTGTGCCTGAGAACAGGCATGAGGCCTATTAGACAGAGCAGCCCTGCCTTGGAGGCCACTTCTCAGGTGGTGGAGAGGCACCCCTCTGGCCGCTCCTCTTAACACCTTTCAAGCACAGCACACAGTCCACAATCGAATTCTTGCATTGCCCTGGCCACTGGCAACCCACGATATGCCACTGGCTCAACTTCACAGGAAGTCCTGCTTGGGCACACTGAGTCATGCTCAAGGTGTGTGGGCAGATGTGCTAGCAGTTTTACTGCAGCACCATTGGTCTGCTTACTTTTTCTCTTCTGATAAGGTCGTTGCCTAGTTACCTAATTGTAGCCTCTGCTTGTTACACGGCTTAATTTCTATGCATGTGTAAAGCTAAGACCTGTGGACTCTTATTGTTGTGGGTCCCCCGGTGCCTGCTGTTGCTGTGACCAAGTACAAGCTGCCTAAAACATCTTGAGTGCTACGGCTAATTGAAGAAAATCCAGTAACAACCCCTGCCCCACATTCTTCCCTCGCTGAGTGAAAAAAAGCGGACTTCTGCAAAAGGCTACAGTTGTAAATCTCAGCTGGGGTTTGTAACCTTAAAATCTCTCTCCCACCCTCATTGCACCAGTCAGCTCCCGAAGTTGACAAGCATTCTGAATAAAAACTTAACAGGCAAAAATGTTCATGCTGGCTGGCCACATCGACTCCTCCTGCAGCTGCAGTGTATGGTTTTCGGCTGCTGACAATTTTCTACGCTCCCTTTGTCAACAAACCCGGAAGAGATGAGTCATAAAGGAAAGGAAGCATTACATAGATAGTAACAAATGTCACATTTTCATGTAGGGTTGTTCTGCGCCCGCCTACCTTCAAGTCTCCGCAGCGTTTTGCAGTTTAAAATCCATATTGTAATGTAAGATTTTTATTAAGGCTCTCAAGGAAGGAGAGAAGGGAAGCAAGAACAAAATCCCACACTGCGCCTTTAGGAACTGGCTTGCCCCTCCCCCAGGAAGTGTACAGAGACACGCAGAACTTACTTATATAATTCCTAGCTCTCCCCATCCTGCATGCACAAAGTACTTGTACTAATGATGACAAATCTGTCACTTTCTGCGCCTCTCTGGCCCCATCTGCCCTATATGTTTAAGGCATATCCAACTTTCAAGAGACTAGATTCAGGTAGGTAGCCGTGTTGGTCTGACGCAGTCGGAAAAAAAAAAAGGCCAGTAGCACCTTACAGACCAGGTACAATGGTACCTCGGGTTACATAAGCTTCAGGTTACATACGCTTCAGGTTACAGACTCCGCTAACCCAGAAATAGTACCTCGGGTTAAGAACTTTGCTTCAGGATGAGAACAGAAATCGTGTTCCTGCGGCGCGGCAGCAGCAGGAGGCCCCACTAGCTAAAGTGGTGCTTCAGGTTAAGAACAGTTTCAGGTTAAGAACGGACCTCCGGAACGAATTAAGTACTTAACCCAAGGTACCACTGTATAAGCTTTCATGTGCATGCACACTTCTTCAGATACTGCAAGAGACTGCAATCTACTCCCGCTATAAAACTGGCAGGGATTATGTTTCGTTAGGGGTGTTCAGAGCCTTTTTCACGTTCTCTTCTGTGCAACCTTCTGAGGGCCATATGCCAGTGGTGGGAGTGGCCAGAGGCAAAAGTGGGTGGAGCAATAAATGTTACCTTTGTAGAGTTTGGTAATTTCTACCCAAGCAAGCAAGAGGCATGATTAGAGTTCAATGCTCCAGCACTGAAGGATGTTATGATGTAGGGCTGGGGAGGGCTATGGCCTGGCGGTAGGTTGTGTGGCCTGGGAAGACCTGGAGAAAGTCAGACAGAGAAGTCTAGAGGCCCACGTTTGGTGTCCACACGAGGTTCTCCACCCACTGATATAGATTCTGAAATGGACAACAGTGATGGTCATTATCGATGCATCTTTGCATCTGTGAGCCCCACTCCACGAAGGCGTAGGCCGCTTTATGGTATATTTAATCTGAATTCATCTTGTTGTCTTTGCATAGTTCCCTGGGCAAAGTGGGAACTTAAATTCTCTGGAGTCCTCTGGGCAAGCGTTGACATAAATATGCAATGGTTTCCAATTGTTTAGCACTAATTAGCTTGATTAATTTTGGAGAGGTTCTGTTTCCCATTAAAGGGTGTCTCTCTTGGTTAATTACAGCAAGAATGGACCAAGGAGGGTAAATTAATGTGATCGGCATGGAAAATAAATAAGAAATGGTACACAGTGCATCCCTCAGCAAGGCCAGAGTTTTCTTAAGAGACCAGGAAGTTCAAGGGAGAATGGTCCACTTTGATTTGTTTATATGCAAATCTGTTTTCTTAATTGGCTCTGATTTTCAAAACACACTTTTTGCAGATTTTCGCTCTTTTTTATCACACCAGGACAAGATGCTTAAACAAATCTGGATTATGCTGTGTAACATTGGGGCCAATAGGGCACTGCCCCACCAATCTCAGCCGGCCCCCATTTGCTTGCCTTCTTACAACTATCCTGGCTGCTAGTTTCCTCCTCTTCAGCCTCTGTGTTGCCATTGCAGAACTCAGCTGGGAGGAAGATGGGGACAAGAGCAGAATAAGTTGCCTCTGCCTGTCATTGGCTCTGGTACTGCCTGTCATTGGTTATAGCTCCCCCTGCTGTTGACCTCCCTGCCTTCTACCCTACTGATCCCAATGAATGCCCACAATTACTGTTCGAATTCCTCCTCCCCCTTAATTTTTTGCTTCTGTTTTAAATCAGGAAAAGTCTGCTCAATATTGCGGCCAGTGATAACGCCGCAGTAAACATCAGAAATGCCTTTATAAATATGATCTAAGAATTTAATTGCCTCCTTTGTACTTTAATCTTATCTTCACACATTGAAGCCATGTGCATTGTATATTTCTGAACCCCAAAGGACAGCTTTTCATATGGCATTGTGGAGTAGGGCATTATCACTCGAAACCTGACAGGCCTGGTATGCTTTTCTGTCAGCCGATGGGCTAGGAAGTTTGTTATTAATTATGGAAAAGGCATACGTACATAAAAAAGGAGGTGGTTTGCACAAGGCAGTTCTGAATCCTGAATTATAATTAAATTGGGGCTGTGTGGCAGGGGTGGGGAGAAAAAGCATTATTTGCCATGAATCAAAAACAAAGTGTAGTTACCCTGTTAGGTAGCAATACACAATCTGCACCACACACATTTTCAAAGCTCTAAGTTCCCCCAAAAGCAAAGCCGCAAATTAGTAAAGAGGGACCATTTCTGGATTGAAGTAGATGCAATTTTAAATGTGTACATGCATTTAACGTCTCCAGGTGTCCCCTCCCCAACCAGTGATGATGGGAATCAGGGCTGCAAAAACGACACATGGGAAGGTGTGTGTGTTGAAATAAATTTTTATTTGATTTTCAAAAAACATAAACATGCAACAAAACCAATTCCAAATCTAATTATTAAGATTACTCTGAATCTCCTGACTTCCCCCTATCCCTTTCATGGATCCTATTCATCCTATTTTCAACTGCATATCAATACTTCTCCATATATATTTATTATCTTCCTAGGTATCCTATACATTCTGTTACATTACAAGTGTGTTTAAATCCTGCTAATGTTTTAACCTACTTACAATAATTTTGTATATACAGTGGTACCTTGGGTTAAGAACTTAATTCATTCCGGAGGTCCGTTCTTAACCTGAAACTGTTCTTAACCTGAGGTACCACTTTAGCTAATGGGGCCTCCCGCTGCTGCCACGCTGCTGCTGCGTGATTTCTGTTCTTATTAAGCAAAATTCTTAACCCGAGGTACTATTTCTGGGTTAGCAGAGTCTGTAACCTGAAGCATCTGTAACCTGAAGGATCTGTAACCTGAGATACCACTGTACATTGTAAACGTTTCCCATTCTTTTAAAAATTCTTGTCTTCTTGGTTCCTGAGCTTCCCAGTTAGTTTTGCCATTTCAGCATAGTCCATCAATTTGGTTTGCCATTCTTCTTCGGCCGGGGTTGTCTCTTCTTTCCATCTCTGGGCTAGTAGGGTGTGTGTGTGTGTGTGTGTGTGTGTGTGTGTGTGTGTGAACCCTTCCTTCTTTTGCAGTGGTCCTGATGAATACCACCCTTAAGGAAGGAAAGTTTGGAGCTCCCATGTGTGATTTGGAGCCCTGATAGTGCAGGGCTTCTGATGATTTCTTGTTTGTTGTTGTTTAGTCATTTAGTCGTGTCCGACTCTTCGTGACCTCATGGACCAGAGCACGCCAGGCACTCCTGTCTTCCACTGCCTCCCGTATTCGGTCAAACTCATGCTGGTAGCTTCGAGAACACTGTCCAACCATCTCATCCTCTGCCGTTCCCTTCTCCTTGTGCCCTCCATCTTTCCCAACATCAGGGTCTTTTCCAGGGAGTCTTCTCTTCTCATGAGGTAGCCAAAGTATTGGAGCCTCAGCTTCAGGATCTGTCCTTCCAGTGAGCACTCAGGGCTGATTTCCTTCAGAATGGATGCGTTTGATCTTCTTGCAGTCCATGGGACTCTCAAGAGTCTCCTCCAGCACCAGAATTCAAAAGCATCCATTCTTCAGTGATCAGCCTTCTTTATGGTCCAGCTCTCACTCCCATACATCACTACTGGGAAAACCATAGCTTTAACTATATGGGCCTTCCGATGATAAGAACATACAAAGAGCCTGCTGGATCTGGCCAACAGCCCATCAAACTCAGCATCCTGTTTCCACAGCGGCCAACAAGACCCCTGTGAGAAACCTTCAAGCAGGACCAAAGCACGAGAGCGCTCTGCCCTCCTGTCCTTTCCAGCAACTTGTGTTCAGAAGCATCACTGTCACCAAGAGCATCGTCATATTTGGCTAGTAGCCATTGAAAGCCTTATCCTCCATGAATTTGTCCAATCCACTTTCGAAGCCAGTTTCTAAAGCCTCTTTTAATGATGATGTGGAGAAGCCAATGCATATTCAGATGAGCACATGTAGGGTCCAACTTCAGATTTTCTACCCAATGTGCAGAAGTTGAGACAGCAGAGATAACTGGAACAGCAACACTGCACATTGCATCAAAAAGCAGGAGGGTTTCTGATGAGGCCTGATATCACCTTGGTACAAGAGGAGGAAGGTGCTAGCTGGATCTCGGTGGATTCAGGCATCAGCCCTGAAAATGTCAGTATTGCAGCCACCAGAACATCAATGGTCAGATGATATCAGAGGCCAAAAGAGTTCTGCCTAGTACTGTGAAACTTCTGAGTATACCTGCATGCTTTCTGTTTCTTGACATTAGCAATGCTAGAAAGCACAAAGGTGAGTATCTTTCTTCCTGTGGAAGAATGACTGTCCTTTCAATCTCCTGGTATCTTTTGAAGAACCTTCTCTTAAGGAACAGGCTCAGTATAGCTCAAGATCAGGCTTGCCACTATCAATGCATGCCAGTGGCCTTTCTCGAAGATTGACAGTTGTTAACAAATCCTCCTGCTCTGAATGTCTGAGTCATGCAGCTAGAAGGCAAACAAGGCAGATATATTACTCTTTCCTAGGCAAAGGAGGTCAGCTAAGGTTGATTTTGTGAGCTGAATATGGATGGGTTCAGTGAACCCTGAAACAAGCCTTTGAATTGATCCTTGATCGCTGTCGAAATTTGGACTGATTAAGCACGGACTTTTTCTGCCTGTATACATAAAAATATAAGGTTGTTGTCACGCCACAGTTTGTGTGGCTGCATCTTCCCACTCTGTTAAATGTAGCTGCAGTGAGGTTTAATGGAGGTGGGAGGTGCTTCACAGAGTGGTTTGAAAAACTGCTCTTTGAAGCACCTGTCTCCTCTGTGAAACACCCCACCCCAGTTAACTGCAGCTGTGGGAATGTGGTGCTTCAGAAAACTGCTCTCTTAAGTGCCACCCCCTCATTTAAAATGGGGTGGGGATTGTGGCAAGCTGGGAGGAGGTTAGGGTGAGTTGGGAGGCGATAGGTGAAATCTAAAGGGAGGAGCATTTGGCAAAGCAGTTGGTGTATGGGGTGGGGTGTTGATGAATGGAGTGAGTTGGGGCAGAAGCCCCTGTTTCCTATATGGATACAGGGAGTGAAATGTAAGGTGCTTCTAGACTGTCACTATCTTGTAGAAGAAGTTCAAGTGCACACTGGAAGTTTAGCTTTATGCAATTAAAGTAGATTAAAGTATTCTGTTACCCTAGGGCAGGGGTCTGCAACCCCCGGCTCCGGAGCCGCATGTGGCTCTTTTACACCTTTGCCGCAGCTCCGGGGCGGATACTAGTGAGGGGAGGAGGCGCATTGTGCGCCCCGACACTCCCCACTGTGGCGGGCGCTGTACTGGCTGTGACGTCGCATGGGGGTGAAATCTAAAGGGATTGCCCGCTACATTGTAAGGGGCATGTACGCTGGTCACTGCATTGAAAGGGGGCATGTATGCTGGTCACTGTTTTGAAGGGGAGTGAAGAACACACACACACAAAAAGGTAACT